CAGGTGCTAGCTAAAGTGGCACCTCTGGATAGTGATCTTGATGGGTGACTTCAATGGCCCGAGTTGGTCATGATGCGAGCACCTGGTCTGCAGTGATTGGAAGACATGGGCCAGATCAGCTCAATAACAACGGTAGGAGGCTGCTAGATTTTTGTGCAGTACAAGGGCTTGTAATTATTGGCGCATCCACACAACACCATGAATGTATGCCGGGTCCAAGCTAGAATATCTTCTGGACTACATAGTGACGGAACATCGGATGCGGGCCCATGTCCTTGACACCAGGACCTACCGTGGAGCTGATCTGCCCACTGACCATCGACTTGTCATATGTAAGATGCACCTGCTATTATTCCACTCTGGTGGTGGGTGTACACCCAGGACCCCATTCAAACCCCGAGTGGAATGGTCTCAGCTAACTGATGAAAGTTGCAAGCGAGAATTTCATCATCGCTTGCGGCTGGGGTTAGCATCGTCCCCCACTCCTGATGTCGAGGGGAAATGGGCGAGGTTTAGGACTGTGGCTCATGCAGCTGCAATGGCTGCTTTGGGTACACGGTCCAGACCTCCTCAGAGACCCTGGCTGACAGAGGAGGTGTTCAGGCTGGCTGAGAAAAAGCGACAGGCCCACTCTCATCGTCTACAGCATCCCACGTCAGAGAATGAGGAGGCTTAATGCAGCCTTCGCTCGGAGGTTCGGAGAGCCGCGAGGCGCTGCAAGGATGGGTGGTGGTCGCGGGTTTCTGAGGAGATGGAGTCTGCCTCAATGGCCCGCGATCACAAATCCCAATTTAACTCCATCAAAAAAGTAACCTGCAGTGCCACACCTATTGCCATCATTAGGGGAAAGAACGGTCATCTAATCTCCGACCCCCTGGAACAGGTTTGCAGATTTTCTGAGCATTTCTGTGAGGTCCTGGGGGAAAGGGAGTCCCTCAGCCTGGAAAATATCATGGGACAAAGTGGGGATGACCCTGCTGAGGCTGCGGTGCCTCAAATATTGGAGGAGGAAGTCACCCGCTGTGAGTGGCTGGCTGAGGTGCCGTCTATTGAGGAAGTACTGAAGGTGATCCAGTGTCTGAGACCAGGAAAGGCACCGGGCAGAGATGATCTCCAAAGCGAAATGCTGAAGGAGGGTGGCGTTTTTGCGCAGACTACCCTACATGAAATCATAACAACAGTCTGGATCACTGGACGGGTTCCGCAGGATTAGAAGGATGCCCTGGTGGTCCCCCTCTTTAAGAAGGGGGACCGTACAGGCTGTAACAACTACAGGGGCATCTTACTCCTCAGTGTGCCTGAAAAGGTCCTGGCAAGGATTATTCAACATCACCTTGCTAGGCACGCTGAGGAGAGGCTTGCGGAGCCCCAATGCAGTTTCAGGAAAGGGCGGTCCTGCACAGATGCCATATATTTGTCCGTCTGCTACAGCAGAGGTGTAGGGAATTCCAACAAGACCTACATCTCTGCTTTATTGACCTGGTCAAGGCCCATAATACCATCGGTAGGCCTGGGCTCTGGGTTGTTCTTTGTGCTTTCGGAGTCCCTGACCCTCTGCTCACGCTCATTAAGGACCTTCATGATGGTTAGCAGGCGCGGGTAAAACTACGTGGCCGGGAGTCAAAGCCATTCCCTGTACACCTTGGGGTGCGACAGGGATGTCCTCTGGCTCCAACATTATTTAACATCTATTTCGACCACATAGTTCATGAAGCCTTCAGTAGCTGTACCGGAGGAATTTCCATCTGGTACAGATACAATGGGAGGCTGATCGATGCCCAGGTGCGGTCAAGGGATGGCTCTCGATTGGTCAACCACGTATACCGACGACCTGGTAATGGCAGCTCACTCAGAGGAGGAGTTGGAGGCGCTGCTGCTGAAACTGGAGTGTGCCACTAAGAGATGGGGCCTTACCATCAGCCCCACCAAAACGAAGCACCTGCCTGGGTATTTTGTACCATCGGGCACTCCACCCCCACAACTCCCGATCGGTGATGGGGCAGTTGTGGAGAGAGTGGAGAGCTTCCCATACCGGGGCAGTGTGCTCATTACCGGCTTCGGTTTAACAGCAGAGGTCTCACTGCCAATCAGTCCAGCGGCATTATCTTTTCATTGGTTGCGTAACGCTGTGTGGTAGCTACCTGGTTTGTCGCTCCGCACGAAGCTTCGGGTCTTCTCGGCCACAGTCATTGCCTCCCTTCTCTATGCTTGCGAAACGTGGACCCCCCTAATGAAACAGCTCCGCCGGTTAGAAACATTTAGGCTAGCCTGCCTACGATCAATCCTGGGTTTAACCAGGTTGGATTGTGTGAGGAGCTCACACATCCTCGAAAGATCTGGACAAAGTCCCATCGGTGAGCTTCTCCGGCAGGCAAGGCTGCGTTGGCTGGGCCATGTAGCCCGAATGCCCAGCCACCGCATGCCCAAACAGCTTTTGTTTGGCCGGATTGAGGGGGCTAAACGGGCGCGACACGGGCTAGAGAAGAAATGGAGTGATGTGGTACAGAAGGATGTGGAGCTGAGTGGATTTGCCGATGACTGGTACCAGCGGTGTCAAGATCGGCCTCTGTGGAGTAGGCTCGTGAAGGATGCTACTGGGCTGTTGGAGGCAGTCGCCTTCCAACAACAGCAGAGGGCGGAGGAGTGACGCTCACAACAACGAGCGGAGCGCCTGACGGCTAAAGCACAGCAAGTTGGCACAGTAGGGGGCATAGCCAGTCATCTCAGCCATCTCAGTCGACCAGTGGCACCTGGGTCTGCCCCGTGACCTCCTGCCAGCGGGCGTTCGACACTTCACGTGGCCTCAAGGTGCACATAGCCTGGCACATGCGTCGTGGTGACGTCACCGCCACTTCGTGGTGAATGGCGGTTGTTGTTGGTGTGTCTTGTGTGTGTGTGCAATTTTGGCAACATATTTCCCCCTTCCGACTACAAGCTCGCATCATGATTCATGTTACTTTATTTTATGTTTTATTTCCGATACAGTTTTTTTACAGTGTTACATGCAAATGTACACATTTTCTTCTTAATTGTGAGTGTAACAATGCTTCCCTTTTTGTTGAACCGTAACACATAATCGTAACGCTGACTGTATCGGAATTTACATACAGTACATTACAGCAGTGTTCCGACTTACAAAAAAACATTTTACTTACGAACGGGTCTCAGGAACGAATTAGGTTTGTAATGCAAGGACTGCCCGTAAGTCAAATAATACAGTACTAATCATACATGCATAAACAATTTTCTTTCTGAATCAACCATTATAGTAATGTTTATCAAAACATTTATTAAAAATGCCCACGCCAAAACGTGATGCTAAATCGGAAGCTGCAGTGCGGACATTTTGTGCGTTTTAAGCATTTACACTGAAAAGGTTAAACAACATGAAATTGAAAAACTGAATAATGGCCTCTATTTTGTATAATTTATAACGCATTAATCACCTTCCAATTGCCATGTGTGCATTTATTTATCTACAATTTTTCAAATAACGTATAAACGATAGCAACTCCGAGTTCTACGACGCCACTTTGCTTTTATACTTGAGTGCTTAGTTTGTAGACGCTGGGATATTGCATGTCAGGGATCACATCCTTCACAGATGGGATCAGATCACGAATTGTATGTACTAAGCTGTGTCTGCAGCAGTAGTTACATTGGGGAAACTAAATGACATGTCTCGGACAGTGTTCGTGAACACAAGGCAGATCTGAAACACGGTAGGACCAATACCTCGGCCGTGGCTGATCAATGTTTTAATGTGGTGGGCTCACACGATATTGCTTTCTTTAAGATGTAGGTACTTTGAAAACCCACTGGCTATCAACAAAGATTCATTCATGAAGTTATCTATATAAACAGACACAGACACAATTTCAACCGAGAAGATGGGTACAAACTTAGCAATCATTGGAAGGACGTTATCAACCAGTTTAAGTCATCACTGGCTGTGATGTTCCCATCCTGTTTGTTGTTATTTTCGGCTCTCCGATTTGACATTAACAGGTTAAATGTCTCACACCAATACAGCCACCTTCGCGCGCCGTACCTCGACGTGGCGGTGGCTCTGCGATCACATTAACATGCTAATCTCTCACATTAAGATAGCCACCTCAGCTCGCTCGCCATGGAGGCCGCTCACCGATCTTACATTAACATGCTAATTTTGACCTGGCACCCCTTTAATTGGTGAAAACCCACTGCCATCGCGGTCGCTGCCCATCACTTACATTAACATAAGCTGCCCCGCCCATGCTGCTGACATTTCGGCTACGCCCATTTTAAACCTTTATAAACAGTTTGCCTTTAGAAGCTAACCCCCCTTTTCCTGATAATGACCGCTTGGGTTGCGATCGAAACATCGTAGTTTTTTGTTATTTTCTTTGAACCAATCTACGTGACTTTACCAAAAGACCCAGAGAAGATGAATTTCTGCAGTCACAAAAGCTTTAAATCAAGATAAAACTGGAGCAAAAATGACGTTGCTTCATCGTGCTTAACATTGATACAATACTCATTTCACATGCCATATTCTCCTGATCGTAAGACACTCCAGAAAGCAAGATGCACCCCAACCCTTTGTGTTACATTACAGCATTACAGCGGGGGGGAGCGAAAGTGCATTGCAATCTGGAGAAGGCTGCTGTAGTTATAGACAAATGTCAACTTGTACATCCGCCGCGATACAGTATTCTTTCACTCGATTCAGAAACCGCATTACTCGGAGGCACGAGGACGACAGACCGCTGACGAGTGGGAAGGCAGCGGCCACGTGTTGAGCCGGCGCCAACAATTTCCCAAGCTCTGCGGTCCCTTATATATTAAATGGCGAGATGTTAACTCCCTCGCCTGGTATGCAGGAGGTCGTGGGTTCGATCGTGATCCTGATGGCTGTATAATTGGAGTTTGCACGTCTCTCTCCCCGCGGTCATGTGGAATTTTCTCTGGGTCCTCTCGTTTTCCCCTCCACATTTAGAAGCATGGGTTTACAGCATTTGACCACTGTTGTACATTTCCACATGTGAAAAAGAGCTATATAACTCACATTAGTTTATAGTTTAGTTTATTGTCGGCCAATTAATGAGTGTTGCAATTATTCAGCTTTGAGAATTGGGCTTTAAATTAAGTAGTTATAGAGGTGGCGCTTGAACATTCTTCCTCACCACCTGCCCCCCCCCGCCCCTGCATGGGACCAAACACAGACAGCTCGTGTCTCTAACTGCATTGGCGGGCCACAGCCAGGGGGTGGTTGCGGCTGACAACCTCCGTCTGAACGGTCGCGTGTCCGATGCCGGCCTGACGGAAGTACCTCCGGACCGCGCGGACGATGCTCCGGCAGTCGGCGGGCTCCGCGCAGGCCACGCTGGCCGTGCCCACCAGGCGGCTGCCCGCCAGCTGCCACACGCGCATGTCCTGCACGGCGAGGACACCGTCGAGACGCACCAGGCCCTCGCGCAACCGCCGCAGGTCTATGTGCCCCGGCGCCGCCTGCATGAGTATGAGCGCAGAGTCGCGCAGCAGCGGCACCGCCGTGCTCAGGAGGATGGCCACGATCAGCAGGCACAGGCTCGGGTCCAGGTAGTGGACCCAGCACCGGCGGTGGTGGCGGTGGTGGCGCGCGGGCCCCTCGCCGTCATCGTGAGCCTCCTGCACGCACGAGCCCTCGAAGTGGGAGTAGACGAGGGCGTTGACTACCACCACCACGGAGCCCAGCGCGTCGCCGAGCACGTGCAGGAACACGCCATGCATGTTCATCTGCGAGCCCGTCGCCTCCACCTCCTCTTCCTCCTCCTCCTCCTCCATCGCCTCCTCCTCCATCGCCTCCGCTGCCGCGCACCCTCCTGAGCCGCACAACGGCCGGACCCTGGCAAGGTCCTCCATCTCAATAGACGGTGGTCCCGAGCGGTCGCCATGCGTTCCCGCACCTGGGCCTGGGCGACACGCAGACGCTTACTCTGACACTGCTGCACCATGCAGCGTGGCACGTGCCCACCGCAGTCGTTGCCGTAACAGGCAAAGGTGCAGGGCTGCGCTTGCTCACTTTGTCCGACTTCCGGCTGAAGGGTCTCCACTTGAGGCAACCGCTATAGAGCCCTCCATAGAGGGGGTACTGGAAGTGGTGGGTCTACCCACACTTTAACCCACCACATGATGACCTGCCGATCGACTGTGTACCCATTTGCACTGCTGTGTCGACAGATGCAAGAGGCCGTCGCACCCGAGGAACTCACAAGTGACATCATCACATTTATCCCTCTACTTAAGAACGAAATAGGAGGATTTCTCCACAAATCTGGCTGAAGCCTTATGAAGATAGTTGTCATTACTGGCGAAACGTCGTTACTCAAATTGTAAATGTTGTGGATTTACTCCCCAACACATAACAGGTGTGCTGCACTCGTAACGAATTGCCATGTTCTGTTTACGTGACAAACCTTACGAATTGGCGTGGTGGTTGGTTTAACGACATTTATATTTACGCGACCTAACCCAAAAAAACCCTCTATTATAGATGCAGGAGATTTAAGAAACATTTGCACCATTATTTCCACTGCCACGCCGGGGAGGACAAACTGACGAGCTCTGGATAACGAGTTCAGTATGCCAACAATGGCAGTACGGGCATCACTGGCAGAGCCAGTGGGTGGGGGGGGGGCACGTGCCCCCCACAATGATCTGATCGAAATCCCTAATTTCGATTGGATCATTGGGGTTTATTAGTAACTAGCTCTACTACCCGGCATCGCCCGGGACTTGGATTATTGTCTTGGATTAATACACGGCCTACGTTGAGGGTGGGGGGGGGGGGGTGCGTGACGTCGCCGCATGTGGGTGACATCACAGATGTAACGTCACCACTCACTTGCCGTGCAAAATATATCCATTATAGCGCCCCCCCCTCCCCCCCATAATACAAAAGTATTTTTTTATACTTTTTGCATTGTGTACAGTCTGGAAGCTACGCACATGCCAAATTTCAAGTTTGTTGCATGTCGGGAAGTATGCTAAACATTTCGAACTGACACATATTCACAAATTTCCCTTTTTTATATATATATAGATAAATCGGCATTTTGCGACCCCCACTGCCACTGTGTAGCATATTATTACGTGCCAGGGACTCTATGAGATGATAGGACAATAGTCTGAGTCCATAATTGGCAATAAGTAACGGCAAAGCAGTTATCAGTGACTCACATAATTATGCGCAGTTGCGTATACAGAGTCCACGACTTCCCTGAAGGCATCAACACCTTCAGCGAGCGCGATGCCGATCACACAACGCGGTTCGAATTCGACCCTCGATCGATGGCTGCTCCATCGCCGCACATGCGTCGAATAAAACTCAATGGATAAGTCCTTACTTACTAACAACTCCTTACTCACTAACAACTCCTTACTTACTAACAACTCCTTACTTACTAACAACTCTATCATTTTTAACTGCTGGAGGGGTTGCCCCCCCTACCTGAAAATCCTGGCTCCGCCATTGACGGGCATCATTCCTGCGTTGCTGTGTTTCATAAAAGCCTCTCTGTCCTGGTCTGCCACAACTGAACTGCCCACGCGTTTCTCTTGAATGCTAGGACACGACCTTTGAATCTTCCCAAGCAATCCAACAAGCAACCTCGCCCGTACTGTCGCCAGCCCACTGCCCTTACCAGGTGATGGCTGCGTAGTTGATTCCAGGGAGGTGAGCGGGAGCCAGGGTTAGAACTGAGTCAACTTACGGTGAAAACCCAATAAAAACTGACAAGGGCACTACAATTATGATGAATACTATATGTGGCGCTTTTTAAATGTCAGAGTTACTCTTTTTGAAAGGCCCTTCAGCACCAATGAAAGCAGCGGCACACTGACACAGTCTTTCATTGCCAGGTAAACTCAAAGTTACACTGCATAACGGATGTGTGCATGCATACGCAGATGCATGCACGTGTGCGTGTGTCAGGACTCTTGCCAGCAGAGGTAATGCTCAATTTGTGGGTTCACCACGCACTGCGCCATGCTCTTACCACATTCCTGCGGCTCATGCGGAGTTTATTCTGAATGCCCCTGCGTGCCAGGGCTGGCGCTGGGGGTGGCTGGGGTGGGCTCTCCACCACCGAATGTCCCTTTGGCTCCCCACCCAGGTGAAGTCTCCTGATTGGTGCGTCGCTGCTCTGGTGGCACCCTCCACTGCGGCTCGACTGACTGCTCTCATCCGAGAGGAGCTGGGGCGGGGACCTGGTGCATTGCCATCATATGTGCACAAAGGTGAATGCCCCCCTTGTATAGCCTACACCACCAGGGGGGTCGGAAAACCTTTGACAGAATCGGAATCTTTATTTAGACTGGAAGACTCCGATGAGCTACAAAGCTCTGATTCACAGATGTCCAGTAGGGGGTGGCGGATAGAAAGTTGCAACAACAAACGATACAAACACCGATAGGAGTGCAGAGTTAAGCGAGTTGCGAAATACAAATGTAAGTAAATAAAGTATATCAGCACAAATTGCATAAGGACATCAACGCCTGCCGAAGCTTGAACACCAAATGCAACCTTTGGCGGCTGCTGATCAGCACGCGGCGGCTCTCCGAGCACCACTTCCTCGTGATGTCCTTTACCAAGGACCAGCGCCGTCTCGTATTCATCATCGCAGGCTCTTGAAACATCGAGTTTTTTTCTTTTACCGAATTCGTACAAAAAAAAACCGTCTCGGTTTCGGTTGCCGACTCCCTGGCTTACACACAGACTGTTGGGGCAAGGCGCCGTTGGCGGACACCTACGAAAGGCAGACGATGGCGCGCGCGTAAGTGGGGCACTCGCATCTCAAGCCGAGTCGATGGAGGGGAGGCCCCCCGAACCGGCTCGGGTATTCATCACCGATGTTGGGCCATGGGCGGGAAGATAAATCGGTTCGCCGAGTTCATAGCACAGATTCTTTGGGTCTTTCGGTAAAGCCACGTAGATATAAAAATAATAATTAAAAAAATCACGACGTTTCGATCGCAACACAAGCAATCGTCATCAGGTGAAAAATATAGCTGAAATATAGTTCATAGCACAAGTGGGCGCTAACCGCTACACCACCGCCCCCGCAACGCGTGTACACCACACACACACACGGCGGCATCGTGGTTTCAATTCGTGTCGTCAGGCAGCCTGTGCCTCATTTCAACTATATGACACATTTGACGTGCACATTTAAATATATGTATTACGTAACATTTCAAAGTGATATGGAAAATGTAAAAAAATATCAACTCATCCAATTCAAATGTCACGTTTCACTTTTAATCATAGTTACGTGAGATACATTATTGTGTGCATGTCATCACGTGTTCTGTTAAAAGTAATAATATTGGCTCTGAGAGGATTGTAATTTTTTAAAGTGGCGGATTTTATGCTGAAATAAAGCAATTAAATATGGGAAAATGTGTAAATTTTCGGCCAATTCGCGTGATTACCTGTAAAAAATAAAACTAAAAACTGTCTTAACAGAAAAAAAAACGTATGAGCGCCTAAGGACCATTGCCCGATACGTTGCCAACTATAGATGTTTTCTCTTAAGGCAGTGTTGACGAGGAATGTGTTGCGGTTATTTTTTGTTGTTCGTTAATTGTGCTAGTGGACAACTGCCAATGCAGCAGCGTCACCGAATAACACTTGGTCACCTGCAACGCCATGACATAGCTGCTCACCCCGACCTCTAAATGCTCTGATGCGTGCATTGTCTGTGTACTGTTCGCCTTTTGGCGTTGTTCTCTGGTCTGTCACCGGTGAGATAAGGCCATAAAGAAGACCAAACAGTTTTAAAGACAATGCATACATGACCAAAGTTTGTTTGCACGTTCGCCACAAATGCGTGTGGTTAATGCACACTTGATTCCTTGCAAAATGTTTCTATTTGGAGTTTGAACATCTTAACACCTCCTGTTTTATTGCCAGAAAGGGTAAAAGCTGTTCTTACTTTTTATACTTCGATACTGGCAAAAAAAGGTGCCATGATATGTAATGTCACTGTTTGTGTGGGGTGACAGTTGCAGTTACGGTGCCAGTACACTGCACTTGTTCTCGGCAAATAACAACACGATTGAAATAGGATTGTCACGGATTTCCAAGAAGGTTTTCCACAACACTTGTGAAGGCTGTCGTGCCTTCTCACAGTTCTGGCAACTGCCTGACGATACTGCTTGTAACTACCAGTGAAATTCTAGATTTAAAGCTTTCGTGACTGCTAGGATCCATACTCTTTGGTTCTATTGGGTAAAGTCAAGATCGTGATCTGAGCGTGGCTTCTTCCACTCCAGCGCTGTCCTCCTGACAGTCTCGTCCCTTCACCTGATGAAGGCCGCTTGTGTTGTGGCCGAAACGTCGTGTTTTTTATTTTTTTATTTTATTTTCACCTACGTGACTTTACCCAATAGAACCAAAGAGTATACCAGTGAAATCTACATCATTAGACCTCCTTTGCCAGTTCCAAAATGTAATAACAGGGTTTTTCCCCTTTTTTCTGGCAACAAAACTGAAACCTTTTTACAAGGATTCATGTCTGCATTAACCACAATACCTGCAGTCAAAATGCAAACAAAAAACATACTATGATAATATATGCATTGTCCTTGAAACTGATTGGTCCACACCAAGGGACGGCTTTCTTTTGAGCCTCGACCCAATTGGTGCTCTACCAGATGACGCCAAAAGGCGTACAGCTCAGACAATGCACTATCAAAGTAATGAGGGCTCGGGGCGAGCATCTACATCATTAGACCTCCTTTGCCAGTACCAGCTTTGCTAACCATTTACCCCACGGACAGTAATGATCTTAAACTCGTTTTTATTTATAAGAAGCAGGCGAGTGAGCCCATTGAAACAAGCTGCTAATTTATATTAAATAAAAAAGCCAATTCTCCTCATACAGGGTGCTTCAAAAAAAGTGTTTAACACTTGAGAGAGTTTGCAACAACACCACCACAAGAAATGTGCCTCTGGGCTCTGGAGAACACCTGGAGAAAATTCCAGGCACGTGTTGACAACTATTGACTTTTTGAAGCTATTAACATACATTTGTTATCATGTTACAGTGTAGTAATAGGTTTTTACCCTTTTAGCTGGCACAAAAAAACTGACACCTTTATACAAGGGATCATGTTTGCAATAACCACAACACAAGCAGTCAAAAATTCAAACAAAAAGAAACAACTCTGATAATATTGGCACTGTCCTTGAATTTGATTGGTCCACACCCGAGACGGCTTTTCTTAGAGCCTAGTCTCCACTGGTGTTGGACCAGATGACACCATAAGGCGTACAACTCAAAAGCAGCGCACTATCAGCAAATCATTATCAGAGTTGTTTCTTTTTGTTTGCATTTTTGACTGCTTGTGTTGTGGTTATTGCAAACATGATGCCTTGAATAAAGGTGTCAGTTTTTGTGCCAGCTAAAAGGGTAAAAACCTATTACTATATCTTGTTACTGGCAAAGGAGGTCTCATAATGTTACAGCGTATCATCCATTCTGTTCCCATTAAACAACCGATAGTCCCACGTAAGTGTTCACATTTTTTTTGGAAGCGCCCTGTACAACAGCCACTGTGTTCCTGCGTGCGGGCAACACGTCGCGCAGCCACTACTGCTGGCCACGGCGTTACCGTTCTACGCACCGCCACACGCGGCCCCGGGGCGAGGGCCTCCCTCCGCGGAGGCCTCCCCGTGGCTGTGTCCGTGGCCCTGGAAGAGGCACAGCCCCACCAGGTTGACGAGGAGGCCCACGGCGCCGACGACGACCACGAGCAGGGGCCGCTCGACGGTCCGCGGCGCCGCGAACCGTCCGAGGGCCTCCAGGACGATGGTGAAGCAGAGCGCCACGAGGAAGACCGAGTTGACGAGGGCGCCCGCCACCTCGGCGCGCGCCCAGCCGAACGAGTTGCGGCGCGTGGGGCGCGTGCGGCTCGCCAGGCGCACGGCGAGCAGGGCCACGCCGAGGGCGATCACGTCCGAGAGCATGTGCAGCGAGTCGGAGAGCATGGCGAGCGACTCGCTCACGCGGCTCACCACCACCTCCACGACGAAGAAGGCGAGCGTGAGGCACAGCATGCAGAGCAGGCGCGTCTGGCTCCTCATGCCTCCTTCCTCCTCCGACTCCTCCTGGCTTCTACGCAGTCGCAGATTTTTTTTTTTTGGCGCGGATCGAACCGCTTGGCCAGCCGACGATGTTGTTGTTGTTGCTGTTGTAAGTCGACGCGATGCGATGGAGAAGTCGAATCTCACCTTGGGATTTAGTTACGTAGGGGTGTTTTGACACACTCGTGACTGTTCGGAAAGCGAGTTTTACGATACACAACCTAGCTTTATTAGTCTAGATATCTCGCTTATACGAGTCGAATTATTCTCGGTACGGTCACTTTGTAGAGTTCAAAATGTCGATTTTTTTTCTTCTGTCCGGACAGCAAAGTGATGCTAGATTTTGTTTTGTGCACAATATAATCTTTTCCACGGTTGGGCAGTGCAAACTGCTGCCTAATTGGGCCAATTTCATAGGTGTGGCCCGTGCATTTAACCGAGAGGATATCAAATGGCAGGTTGGGTGTTGGTCACAACTGCAATTTTAATGTTTTCACCTTGCGTCGCTTCACTGATAGAAGTCACATTTGCCTTCCTATCCTTAAAATACCTTAACATGAACCTCAGGAAAAATGAACTTTGTTGACAACAATATTCTTCATATGACCCAAATATGATATTGTTAACACATTGATGCTGTTCTTTATTGTCAGCTTGATGCTTGTTTATTAGAATTTAAAGTGTGTGGGTGCAATAAATATATTGTCATTTTGAAGTCGCAGTTTTGCCACTTACGAGCAGAAAAACAACGGTTGCATATGCAGACCAATTTTCTTCAACAAACTACCAGACTGTGTTATACCCAAGCAGTTTCATCCGAAACACACTTGGGTGTGAAAATTACGCACTGGTGCTCGGTGATAACCTCAGAGTTCTACAATACACAGACTCAATGATCGAGTAACCTATATTGTTAAGATATTGGTAAGAAAATTAAGAAATTTAAGAAATTAAAGTACAATGAGTCGCGTCCCTGAAGAACACTAGGTTATGGAAAAATCGCGTTATTATCAATAATATACAATATCGGGTAAAGCACAGTCCGCGGTAACACGCGAGATGCGTACGCAGGCTGAACAAAGACGGAGCCGTGTGGGTAGCATCTAGAAGCATCCAGCAGCATCCCGCATTTTGTGATGCTACGCCGAGGCAGCCGTACAACCGCTTAATTCTACTCGTGCGACGTCGCCAAGTTCACTCGATCACGTTATGTACAATTCGCATCCGCATTATAATAAACATGTGATCCCTCCTACGTTCATCATCGCATTATATCCAATTGGCGTTGTGAAAACAACACGCGTTATCGGAGAACAGACTATTTAGTTATCTCCAGACTTTGCTGGTGTATGGCAGATGTATCATGTGACCGAAGACGATGGCTGCCCTTGCACAACTGCACATCGGAAGAAGCAGCAGCGATTTTTCGTGTCCACCGCGTGTAAAGACGAGCGAAATGCATTGCAGAAAGAAGTCGCAACAGGGCGACAACAAATACAACCGGGGTGGAACAGCTCCAACGGAGGCGTGAGCATCCGAGCAACTTTCTAGCCAACGACGCTCGTGTTGAGCAGTAGACGTTGGGTGCCAGGCAAGTACTAAGAGTTAATCGACGTATCATCGGCCCGTATGGAGTATTTGCGGTAGTAGTTATTTCCATTTAACCTTCACAAGTTGAATATCTGAAAAGTGTGTGTCCGTTTAGGTGCTAAAACTGTATTCCGTAAACCAAACAGGTCCTACATGTATGTATGTTGAACTTCTCTCGCACCCTACGTAATCAACCGTGCTAATCGAACGTGGACGAAGGCAATGAAGGCAGTCTGTGATCTCGCGTCATCCCTGCCAATAAACCTTGGCCCTCGCCCTGCTCACCCTATGGCTGCAGCAAACTCCATTGTCCGAAATTATGTTTGTAGTGCCTCCCATAGTGCGCAGATAAAAAAAAACAGGTCACTTGAAGGGATCTCAGAAGTAGGGTGGGCTAAGAGCTACGTGGAGTAAAAATGCCTTATTGTTTGCCCTGGTGCTGACAGAAGTGATGTCATCAGCCACGGTGAGGTTGAGGTTCAGATGGGAGCCCAACTCTCGAGGCCCTGCTGCTGCTACTGTCTGCAGCTCAACAGATGAGCCACGTGGACATGAGAATGCCTCTTACTCTACCACACTATATGTGTTGTAATACTTAGAACTGGTTATTTCTCTGGCATAGGATGATGCACCTGCTCGCTCTACGATTGTTCCAAATTGGTGTGTAATCTACACGAGTTACTCAATATATATAAACAAAAATCTGACCACGAAATTCAAGGGAATCCCTCCGACAAACCTTTCCACCAACAGCCTAATGTACACATTGTATGTACGTTGAACTTATTTTGCACGTACTAATGGGCGTGCTGTAATAACAGCACGCCCATCAGTATACTACTTGGTATGCGTTTAATTTTAATAACATGAGTGCCTTCAAGCAGGTCAGACTGCACGCTAATAGGCGAATTCGTGCTGTTTGTGGTGCCGTGGTAATTGGCGTGCTGTTTTGCACGCCGATTTTTTTGTGTGCGTCTTCTGTGTCGGCGTGGGTTATATTTTTAGGTTTGTGAAGGACGCTACTAGGCATTTGGAGGCAGTCGCCCTCCAGCAACAAAGAAGGGCGGAGGAACGACGCTGATAACAACGAGCGGCGCACGGATGACACGCAGCAAGATTGCACAGTGGGGAGCACCGGTGGTGCACCTGCCAATCCACGGCACTTGGATTTGTCACATGACCTCCCGCCAGCAGCAAGCCTTACACATTTCACAAAACCTCAAGGTACACCTAGCCTGGCACAAGCGCCGTGGTTATGTCACACGACTAATTCACACGGCTGCCTATTGCATGAGCTCTGAATGCGAGATTTTAAAACAGTCCATGGAATAATACACTTCTCAAAGCAATGGGGATAACAACAACAACAACACAATGTAGAATTCGATCAAATTCGTACCTTCACGTTGCATTTAGCAGTCACCTGCGATCCTCTATAAACGAAACTTATTCTTACTTACTGGGTAAGGCCTTACTGAGCTATGCCGGCCTTTGTCATAATCGACATGGCCACAAATGTTAGCCCAGTAAAGTGGTTTAGCATGCAGACATTTATAGCAGCAAAACACTCTAAACGCACGTTCATTCTAGATGTGGAGACAAACACCGAAGCACCAGGAAAAAAATCCACGTGACCACAAGGAGACAACGCAAACTCCAAATATACACGCGTCGGGGGGGGGGGGGTGGGGTTGCGATTGAACCCAGGCGAGGTAGTTAACAGGAGTGGTGTCCTGTCCGATGAGCGGACATCAACCACTGCTCTGAGTGCCACCTCACAGCACCGGCACCTGGGGCCACGTTCCTGGGTAACAAAACGCCTCCATTCCTCATCAACAAGTGCTGATGAGACCGCGTTACATTTCACAGAACGGAGAGCTGCCTTTTACCTGTCCACAGCTTCTACTGGCATATTATTCGCGTGGATCTTTGAAACGTGGGGTTGTAACGCATGCGTCCAATGGGCCTTGTAAATCGACGTGCTAAGTTTCATTAAGATCAGGTGTGCCGTGCTGGGGGCTTCCCCGGGTTGCAGGGGTGAGAGGCATTCACTCACCGGATGATTACGATGCGCTTCCTTTAAACTTAAAGGCTTCCTCAATAATCCACAGAGCTCGGAAGAAAGTTTAAAGCCGAGTGTCTTATGATTCATCCCGTGCTGTATTCCAGTGCTTTCCCAAGGACAGAGCTGGCACATTATGTGCCAGTCACATTGGTGAGATATGTCCCACACTAAGCTGGAGTGTTAAGGAAAAATCTCCACTCTGGCGCCATCAACGACGTTGGCTATAACGGAACAACTCCGTGGTCGTGGATGTAATACTCGCCATAGGCAAGAATGTGACTTCGTAACGCTACTCGAACGTGACACCTTCAATCAATTAAGCAAACGTTGCAGATATTAAATGTCTCCATATATCCGTTCTTCCGCACGAACAAAAAAACACATAAAAGTAAAGCGGCAAATGTCATTGACATTCTCCGCACGACGCTAACGGGTATTTTTTGGCGTTGTCGACTGACCCGCTTTTTCAAAGCGCGTCCTCTCAAAGTCCACGGTGGTTCAATGGCGAGGACGTCCACCAGAGGGGTGGAGCAATGGGATCGCGGCTCGTGCGGAGGTGCTGGTCGGATCGTTGCATCGCTGGGCCTTGAGGGGTGGCGGCGGCGGCGGCGGCTCGGTTGAGGCCGTCATCCAGCAGTGGATTGATCATGGCCGTGATGCACGTATGTTGGACTTCTTTTGCACCGCTACGTAGCCAACTGCGCTCATTGGAGGCGCGGGGTGGCGATGATGAAAGGATGACTTCCGAGTCACTCTCTCCATTCGAGAGTTGGGGAATACTCTGCACGTTACGAGTTGAAATTATCATTATCACGGTATTATGCAGAATTTATAGTGGCTGCAGGGGGTCACCCTTCAATGAACCAACTGATTATTTGTTGTTTATAACAGTGATGTGTGTGTAGAATCTATAAAGGCTGCAGACATTTCACGATTAAACTATAACCGCGTGAGTTCAATTAGACCAACTGGTATTATGCAACCCCAAAATAAATAACAAAAACACCATTAAACTATTGTCCTTCATGACAAGCAATTCATGTTTATTTAATCCTTTCTTCAAACATTCAGAAACACCAATAGCTTAAATCTTGTACATAATCCATTCACTTTGATATAATTTACCATTTAAAAAAACCGATTCGGTCACGAGAATGAAAAAAAAGATTCTCTCATACAATTACAAACCGAGTTCAGTTTATGCATACTGTTTAAAAAAAACTAGCAGATTGTTAACTGCAGTACCTACAATATCACAACAATTGCTAACGACCTATTTGAAAACACAAAGACTAAAAAAATAGCAAAACAACGAAGTTTAAGGTACATGGCGTGTGTAGTTTTTGTTGTTGTTGAAAGGGCATAGTACATACATTGTCTGCACATGACAGTAGTTTGGGCTCAAACACAACACCAACAGCCTAAAGCTTTACCACGACCTCACAGCACCACGTGCAGCACACTCAATGCATTTGTCCATCACCTGAAAACGCACAAACATCACTAAGCACAGAACAATTCAGAAAATAATAATCCGTAGCTTAGAACTTAATTAATCTAATCAAGATATGATGATGTTCTAAATCATGTCAACCTGTCAAAGACAGACTGACCTGAGGAACGAATCATTAAGTCTGTCATTAAACCGTTAAAAATGTTAAGCGTTTAGAACTTAATCACCGTCGATTTGAAAAGCAATATTTAGGCATTCGAATTAAATTATATTACCAAATATATCACTGACCGTTGTAAGGACCAGACATACAGCATCAACAGAACACAATGCTGAAGAAAACCAGCTGCTAGGCACCTCGAATATCAGCATTGTTATTTAAAGTCTATTTTGCTTTCAAGTGCCGATATGACCACTGTTTAAACTTCCTCAACTGAATCAACAGTGCAAACGTAGCTAGGCATTTGGTTTTAAGGCTCGTTCATCAAGGTATGGGCCTGAAAGCAAACACGTTTACTCCTCACATATTCCAATTCCACGACTTCACGTTACATGTAAGAGACAAACGTAAGTGAGAGATAGGACGAGGTGTTTGATTCGAGTCGTGACTATTACTGTTACGCATTGATAAGACGTATGTTATGGGATATTAACAATGAATGAATGTGCGTCCATATTATGCTCTATCACGTCGAGCAGTGGTTCTTAACGGGGGGGGGGGGGGGTACGTAGGCCCCTGGGGGGTACCTGGCAATGTCCCAGGGGGTAATTGAGGTGGTTTATAAATGTGTGAAATGATATCATGCATGAGAGTCATTGGTGAATAATCATGTCGTATGAATCTGCCAATATAAAACAACTACGATAACATTAAAATCCATTTGGTAACTCGGAACGATACAGATCCATGTTAGGTTAGGCAAGGGGGGAGGGGGGGGTTATGTTGTATACGGCCCTCGGTTGAAACGAGGGGTAAAGTAGCAAAAAAAACGAGGATTGAGAACCACTGACAAACCTGTTAACCCCTTGTCAGCGCCTACCTGTTTACAGACCAATTCAGACCTTATTGGTCACCCGGTGCCCTTATGAATCTCAACGTTCACCCTACAAAGTCCCATGACAAGGGAGAAACACAAACAAATAGACACATTGTTGTTGTCCGTATTGAAACGGCTGTGCACGCCGTATGGAACTGAAAACTACATTCCCCTGTACAAGAACACGGGGCCACCCGTATGGGTTTGACACGGTATGCACTGACAGAGGAAAATGTCTCGGGGAGTAGCGCTCTCCCACCCCACCCTGTGGGGGAGCTGCCTCCGCCCCGCACGCGGTGACTCGTTGCACCGCGCTGGGCGATGGCCAATGCCAGTGGGCACAATTTCACCCAGCCCACAGTTGTGGGGGACAGCACAACTCCCTGTGCGAGTTGGTGGTGCAGGTGGTGGTTGTGGTGGTGGTGGGGGGGAAGTTCTCTGACACGGAGCGAGAAGATCTTCGCTCGACTCGTTGGCGGGCCATCATTTGACAGCGCGGACTGAGGGCAACCAGTTCATTTCAAAACGGGATCTTGCCAGGATAATCTTGTATTCTTGGTTCTTTCCGTAAAGTCGCGTAGGAAGGGAAACGATAAAATAATAAAAAAAATATAAAACAATAAAATTCCCACGACGTTTCGACTGCAACACACGTGACTTTACCGAAAGAACCAAGAATATGAATCCCTGCAGTCACGAAAGCTTTAAATCAAAAAAAGGATAATCTTGCTCCGTGAGAACGACGAGTTGGGGAGGAGTGTGGCACAACTCAGCCCTGGCGAAGAAAAGCTCTCGAGGCAGTTCACTGCAGAGAGCGAGCAAGCAAAATAAAAAAAAATATTCCAGCTCATCCAACACCCGGAGCAACAACAGCATCGAGCTGAACAGTCCACTCCAGCCTGTAAGTGCAGTTAACCTGCAGTTCAAGTTTTAAACAAAAATCTCAATATACAGAAATCCCTCACCAAACGCGTTTTTTTAAAATCTGCGGTACTTACGTACCCCCACGGTTTTCCTTCAGCATACCAATTTTGTAACCCCGTGGGTATGGAGGTTTTTTTTTGTATCCGCGGATTAGCACGGCGATCGGCGCATGCAATTTCAAATCGCCCGCATCCGACCGTTTGCGTGTGTGGACGTTGTTGTATTGCTACGCATTTTATTCGGCGTTTTCTTGACCTTCCATTATTGTTTATTGTGCACGCATTTTGACCTCAATCACGTCCCCGAAGTGCGCAACCAATTCCCCCCCCTCCCCGTTCTGTAGCGACCGATGTGGAGCGCAGTCGCGAAGCCAAGCGACAGAAGGTAGATCGGGGGGTGGTGGTGGTGGTGGTGGTGGGTGAGAGTGAGCTCGACACAATGGCAACAGAAGGGAGGGGTATGAGGCCTGGAGCTGGCTGGGGGGTTATCGAGCACAAAAAGGAGGGTGCACGGGGAGGGAGAGGGACGCACGGGCAAGAGGACGAGGAGACGATGGGGGGGGGGGGGGGGACTCAGCCGAGAGGGAGAGAGGGAGACGCGGCGGCGAGCGTTCTTCAAGTCCGTGCTGTGTTCGTATCTGCTCCCTGAAGAGATGCACCCCAGGAAGGTACTGTAACAGGACCGTGCCGTTGGACATAGCTGCGCTTGAAGCGGACGTTGTTTCGGTGGTCGCACGTGGGACCAGTTGCTGGTGAAGGGGGGACTTCGTGGTGCTCTGGAGGGGAGGTTACTGCGGGAGGACAAAAACCAGCCCTGGGCTCAACACATTGGTATCCGTCTGGGGTCGCTGCACTTCTAATAAGGCTGAAGGCGCTTCCTCTTTTGAGACGGGCACGATTCCCAGGCGAGCTCTCGAGCCTCATCCACCCAGGGTGGGTCAGCCTGGAAGCTCAGGAGGCAAGGCGGAGCCTCCAAAGGGGGAGGGGCCGAATCCTCCCTCCTTCCTTTTTCCATCTCCGTTGTTGGAGAGTGCCCCCCTCCACCGGGGAACTTAAGCCCCTGCGCAAAATGATCATCGCGGTCTTGAAGCTGGTCGCCCCGCATCTCGTAGTTGTACTGGCAAAGGGCAAGAGAAGAAGGGCAACGGCAGGAATCCTTCCTCCTTTTCGTCTTTTGAGCCATCAGCCTCCGCCATGCTGCCCCTTGGCCAACGCGTGGTGGAGACAATTCACAATGAGCGGGCCAAGCAGGCTAACGGGTTCAAAGTCCCCAAGTTGGCGAGTCGGTGCAATGCAATCCCCGCGATCAGACGGAGCATCTTCTAGCAGTGTACCAAACGTATTCGCTGATCGCACGGTGCATTATCCCTGATAAGCGCTCCCCCCCCCCTCTAAGAGCCAGTCCCTTGTCCACCATCCGTTCCGTGCCTTCTTTCGCGCCAGTAGGGAGGGGTATCCCTCGAGTACAACATTTGCCGAGCGGCAGTTTGGAGCTCCTCCGCACACGTTTTCCCAAGCACTATGAGGCTCCGACACGCTTTAAAAAAAGGGACTTTCTGGGAAAGCGGTACTTTCGGCGGCTGTCCCACACGAGGGGTTGCTTCCCGTTTCCCCCCCCCCCGCCCCCCCCCCCCCCCCCCCGATATCTTACTTTTTGTGTTTCCCTCTGCCTTGGTCAGGCTCTGTCATTGTGACTACGGGCTTGGCGAGTGGCGGTAACCGCCAGATGAATAAAAACGGTGCTTTAGGAGTCCGCGTGAAGTTGCTTTCGGAGGCGGTCACCGCTCCCCCCTCCCTCGCCTCAAAAACAAGGGTGGGGTGGGGTGGGATGAGGTTCAGCCTCTTTATTTTACCCAGTGCCGGGAGAGTTGTGCTCCTCATCACGGGCTTACGAGTGGCTGGGGCTCAAGTAAAAAGGGATTCCCCCCCACCCATCCTCACCCCCTCCCCCCCCAGGGCCAGGGCACCACCAGCTGTCAAACACAAACGTGTAGACTTAAACTTCATGACGACGATGGACTTCGAACGTGGAAGGTGGCCGCCTCTGAAAACCGAGCTCAACAAAAGTACTCAGTCTCTGTACAAGGAGTTTATGGAGCAAGGATTGAGTCTAAAATTAGCCATTGAGGCAATTGCAATTGGGGTCATACCCATGCTTGAACCCGTGCACCGTGCACAAACCCAAGCTGCTTAAACTCCAACCCACGCTCTAACCCTTGGAAGTCTGTGCCATTGCATGCTACGGTTAAACACTTGAGATTAACCCGAGGAGCGACGCTTTCCCCTATAGGTTGCCCCAGCACCGCTTCAGGGAGTGCTGGTGCATCTTTGGGATATTGTTCTCACGCTGGATTTTTTGCCAGGGGAATGCCGTGTACAGGTGTTTATATACCCAGCATTGATACCATTCTGAGTCGACCCTCGCCACCATTTGAACCTGTGACCTCACGGTTATACAATGCTACACCTCGGGTGTCAACAAATGCTCTATATCCTGGCCAAGGTTTATTAGGCAAAGCTGACAAACATTAAACACTATTATACATGAAAAAGTCGTTGTATATAGGCACATGCAATTTGCAATACGTTTAATGCATAGGCTGAAGGACAACCGGCCATGCACAAATATATCATCACCGATATATCGTAACGGCTTGCATAAATGTTGTGTATCCGCAGAAATTGTTCCTTTAGCATTTTAAACTTTTTTGTTTGTGTTTGGAAACCACGTAAAATATGATTGTTCATATTTTACGTAGCTATATGCCCTCATAAATATCAGTTTCTTTTTTGCTAATCTCTTTAAATACAGTTCAACAATGAATTAAATGTGCTTCATAAGTTTAAAGGGTCGCTTACAGATGAGCCTGGTTTCATTCATTATATCCAACACCGCATACAGCACAAACTGGCAGCCTAAATGTTGCAACAGGTACGGTCTTATCCTATTGGTTAGCTGTCAAGCATCGACTCGCACGATTGGCTGCCCCGCTCGCGCTCACTGAAATGGTGGGTTGTGAGCGGGAGGGCGAGGATTGGCCAAACAAGTTCAAAACGCTAAAAGCTCGGGAAATTTTAAGGAATAATTCGGTGTCAGTTTAAGACCCACTGAGGTAATAAGGTTGGATTGGCGTAAGGGGCTATCAATTTAGTACGTACGCAAAAATGTCAAAACTTGACCCCTCCCCCCCTCCCTGTACGCACACGTACTTTTTACACCCCCCCCCCCCCCCCAACCAGCGAATCCGATAGAACGGCCAATATTTAATCCACGCAGAAACGATCAAGGATTTATAATATTGACGTATTCTTGGTTCTTTCGGTAAAGTCACGTAGAACCAAGAATATGGATCCCTGCAGTCACGAAAGCTCTAAATCAAAATTTAATATGAACGTGTTTAAGCAAACAGACCGTTCCTCCGCCGGACTATCTAACTTACTTGAAGGCCAATGTAGACAAATTATTGTCAGTAGACCCCCCGCGTACGCATTTGGGTTAACCCACCTCCCCCCTCCATGCGTACGTACTAAATGGTTTGGCCCCTAACGACATGAAGCAGCAGAGATGTTTCCAGAAGGGGGAGTCACCTGCATATATAGTTCCAAGTCTCACTTGAGACTATACTCTATACGCAGTGTGAATGGCAATAAACTGTTCCTAATTAACTACACGGTTCAAAGGTATGCATTTGGCTTCGAGTATGGGTTCGTGGGTTCAAGCATTGGTTGGGGCATGAGTTGGAGCGTGGGTTTGTCCACAGGTTCGAGCTTGAGCGTCGGTTGGAGCTGGTGTGTCGATATGGGTTTCGAGCACGGGTTTGGATGTGCAAAGCAGTTCTAGGATGGGTTCCAGCATAGGCTCGAGCATGGATCCCAAGCGTTGTGATTATTTGCAATGGATACGACGATTCGCATGCAGAAATTTATGGAGGCGCCGCTTTAAACTTGCCGTTAATTTCCCGCCATTGTCTGCCAATGGCGAGATTTCCCACGTGTTTGCACGACACGTTCATAATTAGTCATCTTACATTATTGTGCCACTGCGTCTGAGTTGCAGAATTTAACCGAGGCTCTTCTCACCGTGAGGCGCAAGTGTTACTCCTGAACCATAGCCCCATTGATGAGATATGTGTTACGTTGTTGTTGTTGTTGTAACCAGCGCCATCACCATTCATAAAGGTAAGCATTTGTGTGCTTTGCTCAAGGGGTAGTGTCAGAATACAGAAAGGGGAAATGAATGTTTAACACGTTTTTGCAACCAATATTATCCGTACGTTTTTTAAAAATAAATGTGTCGTTAAACCCGCTGCCACCCGACATAGCCAATTAGTAAGGTTTGTCACGAAAACAATGCCAATTTGTTACTAGTTCAGCACTAATTGGCTGTGTCGGGTGGTGGCAGGTTTAACGGCACATTTATATGTACGCGATCTAACCCAAAAAAAACCTCTATTAGGGATAGCTAAAATACCAACATTCTAAGTTTAGATTTTGAAATAAGGTCTGAAAACATTTGATACTTCCTTGAATTATTCAGATCATTTCCCATATTCAGATTGTTTGTAAAATATACTCGCAATTTTTTTAAAGTTAATTATTCACACTGACCAGTCACGCTATTCAACATTCACAACTCACAACTACACCAATCCCCGGCACTCAATGTTACCACGACTCGCGTCTCACGACTGGAACTCACCACTGACATATTCGCCACTTTACTTACGCCAATACCAAAACACCATCGAGCACAAATTACCGTCGGCACTATAGCACTCGCCACTTACACACACACACACACCACACATGATCACGTGTATCTCAGCTGTGCAGCCAGTGCAAGTCATCCATACACATGCCACCACCACCACACTCCTGCCCTCCTATTCACTTGATTTCCCCTTCTTCCACTTTGCTATCCCTCTCTGGCGGATTGTAGGGACGTCCAGAATTACTGGCGGCCGTTCAGCAATGTCTAATTCCAAATGTTCCATTCTCATCTCCAGTTATCGCCCAAGAGAAGGAATTGTAGGGTATGCAATGACGAGTGATTTAATACATTAAAATGCATTGCTTGTCTTTTAAAACGTGGCTTCAACTGTGCCTTAATATTCTATTTCAAATAGCATTTAACTTGAAGACAGGCTGGAGCCTTCTTTTGATCGTGGGCCTGGAGTTTCTGGCCGAGGTACTTCTCAAGAGTACAGCTTCAACTCATGGTTGTTGTATGGAACTGGAAGGTTGTGAGCAATGAATTGATGTTTAACGCGTGCGATGTGACACACACGCACGCACTTTGGCTCCTTTGTACCCTCTTTGAAGATGATGTGGACGCCGAGTGAGCTCTTTAGCCGACTTGATTTTTCTTTTCTTGCTCAGATGGCTTCTTAACCACGGATGGCAGAGACTGGGAATATTTCATGTTCCCATTTCCGCCCTCTGCAAACGCACAATATTGCCGGTTTTAAGCACGGAAGAGAGCAGGGCCAGGTAAATGTGACGTGGATAAAATAATAAAATTGCGCTTTTTAGCATGAGAGCAATTGCCGGCATAAACAAACACAATTTTGCAGGAGAGAAAACCAAAAACAGAATAAAAACACGCGAACGTGATTTTGAAAAGTGGTGCTCACGTCCACCGCGTAACACTGTGGGAGACGGAGAGACTACATTCGAGGATTTTGATGATGCGGACAATAGGATCGATTTGCCGTTGCTTCTGGGCGAGGTGGTCTTATCCACAAAACGGTTGCAGGCTAGTGGAATCAAGATGTAACCTGTGGGGACACCCCTTCTGAGTGCTGCCTAGCCACGGACAAAACAGTGGAAAATAGTCAAGAGTTTGCTGCTCAAGTGTGGTTGGTATGCCAAATCGTCGACATCAACATCATCATCATCCAATTGTCTACCCACTGCCGGATGACGGTCTGCCCCACATCGTCAACATCCCTACTAACACTCCCACGATAACAAAACGACACCACTTCTCACGACTGCGCATTAACGGATCTAACGAGATCCTCGTAATCATCGAACGGTGCGGTGGAGGGGAGGCGGCGCGGGCTGTGTTGACAAATCTTTCAATTATCGCCGCTCCATCGAGATCTCTCAACGGATTATTTGGATCGCCGAGGTAAGCAGTGGAAAATAAAAATCAACAAAATTAAATACACCGGCCCTAAAGTTCCTGTTTACACTACAGACATGAATCGTGAGACCAAAATGATTTTCCACGTTTAACCGTAGCACAAAAATTATTTTGGCTACGGCTGCATAAAATGATCAGTTATTTCATCGATATATATTTTTTAGAAAACGTACTGCCACGTCGGTCGTGGGGGTTGTTTGACCATATTTCATCCACGCTGGTTCAAGTTTCAAGTTTAATTTATTAGGTGTAGCCCTGTGAGCCATGTGGCTCTTGAGTCGGGTGCAACAGCAACAAACAACATTTGAACACAGAACATCTTAAAGCGACGACGCGCAACAGAAACATCCTGGTCAGCGTGCGTTGGCGAAGTGGACATCTGTGAAAAAGAGCTTTGAAGCTCATCCGATTCCTCCAGTGTAAATACATATGCCGAAACTTAAGTGGGTGGTGCGCGCCCACAACCACCGCAGGTATGACTCGCCACTTACCTCGGCCGTGGCCGAGAATCCACCTTGGGTGGCACGCAGTGGCGCCAAGCTCAGCGCAACTGCTGCACCCCAATTAAGTCTCGCCATCATGGCCATCAGCCATTCACGGCTGGGTAAAGGCCTCCCCAGAACGCCGCCACCACCACCACCCTCACGGGGAATTAACGTTTACCCCCCCCCAGAGCATTTGCCAATTGCTTAATATCCCCTTGTGCAAGTTGCCGTCAGATCTTTTGTGCGGCGAGGGTTTGCGTGCGGCGCACCGTTGCCGTCGACGAGCAGGTCGTCCGTGGTCTCCTTCCTGCGCCGCAGGATCCGCTCCAGCTCCGTCTCGCCCGCTTCGCTCAGCGCCGTGGTGGACTGCGTCTTGTCCACGTTCGACGGCTTCTTCATCACGTTCTGCGGATCGCAAAACTCCCGCGTCTGTTTAGCGCGTAGTGGTGGTGGTGGTGGTGGCGGGCTTTCGCGACCAAAGATTATTATCCATAAGGTGTTTTTTTTTTTTTGGGGGGGGGGAGGTTAGATGGCGTGAATGTAAATGTGCTGTTAAACCCGCCACCACCCGACATGGCCAATTAGTGAGGTTTGTCACGTAAACAAAACGTGCCAATTCGTTACTAGCTCAGCACACCGGTTGTGTGTTGGAGAGTAAATAAGTGGCACGTTTCGTTTGCGTGACAAACCTTACTAAGTGGCTGTGTCGGGTGGTGGCGGGTTTAACGACACATTTATATTTAAGCGATCTAACCCAAAAAACACCTCTGTTACGGACTCCCATTATGGATATTGTCTTGAAGTACGGGCACTTGACTATTAATGATAAGTAAACATGTACTGACTTGCACTGCACTGATGTATTATATGGCTTCGAAAAAAGCCACTTGATATGAAAACATGGCATTTGCAGAACCCATACCACTTAGCACGGTGAGCCACTGCATTGACAAAGGGCTGTCATTTTCTGTTATTATTCTTATTTTATTTACTCAAAAGCCATACAAAGCTGCCCAATGCGCAGCCCCGGGTGAGCTCCATGTAGTTGCTGAGCTCGAAATGCTGCCACGAGCGAAGGGTTTGTGGAGGGGGTGAAGCGGCCCACACTGACCAGCATCGGTTTTACCCTTTCTGGCAATAAAACACATACCTGTCAACCCCTTATCAGTCTTGATTTGAAGCTTTCGTGACTGCAGGAATCCATACTCGTTGGTTCTTTCAGTAAAGTCACGTAGGTAGAAATAAAATAAAACAAATCACGACGTTTCGATCGCAACACAAGCGATCTTCATCAGGTGGGACAACCTTACCAGTGCCCTACCTTATTAGAGACAAATTCACACACCTGTCAACCCCTAGTCAGTGTCCTACCTTATTACAGACCAATTCACTTACCTGTCAACCCCTTACCAGTGCCCTACCTTATTAGAGACAAATTCACTTACCTGTCAACCCCTTATCAGTGCCCTACCTTATTACAGAACAATTCACTTACCTGTCAACCCCTTATCAGTGCCCTACCTTATTACAGACCAATTCACTTACCTGTTAACCCCTAGTCAGTGTCCTACCTTGTTACAGACCAACTCACTCACCTGTCAACCCTAGTCAGTGTCCTACCTTGTTACAGACCAACTCACTCACCTGTTAACCCCTAGTCAGTGTCCTACCTTATTAGAAACAAATTCACACACCTGTCAACCCCTTATCAGTGTCCTACCTTATTACAGAACAATTCACTTACCTGTCAACCCCTTATCAGTGTCCTACCTTATTAGAAACTAATTCAAACCTTATTGGTCACCCCTTGCCCTTATAAATCTCAAAGTGCATCCTAGACCAATTCCTCGACCACATAAATTCCATACACCCAGCCATCAGATTTACCATGGAAGTCGAAAAAGATGGCAAGCTACCTTTTTTGGATGTCCTAATGAAAAAGAGACCTGATGGTTCAATGAGCCACTCTGTCTACAGGAAAGCTACCCATACGGATGCTTACCTGAAACCGGATTCCCACCACCATCCATCCCAGAAGAATTCCCTCATCGAGACTCTGCACCATAGAGCCCAATGCATATCCGACCAGGAACACATAGCCAGTGAACTCAAGCACGTACACCAAGCTCTTAAGGCTAATGGTTACTCCGACTACACAATCCGCAAAGCTATTACTCCAACCATGAAGAAGGACCCTCTTGAGGAGCCATTCAAAACCATCACTTTACCCTACATTGCGGGGATCACAAAAAAGATCTCCAAAATCTTGAATAAACACAAGATCCAGGTCCGATTCAACACATTACATAAAATCTGTGATCTGGTTTCGTCTGTAAAAGATGTGATTCTGGACATACAGTACCCTGGCGTCTACAAAACTAAGTTGCCTCTGTGGTAGTAGTTACATTGGAGATCACTGTTATAATTCAGTAGGCTCACATGACATTGACTTCTCCAAGACAGAGGTTATCTGCAAGCCATCTGGCTACCATGAGAGATTCGTTCATTAGACTAACTACATATACAAACACAGAGACAATTTCAACCGAGAAGATGGATTCTGGCTTAGCAATCATTGTAAGGATTTGGTAAACCATTTCGGGTCTCAATTGATTGTTCACGCTTACGGTGGCTTTCAGACCGCATCCATTATTTTCGTCTCTCCCCTCCTCTTTTCCGAACATAGATGGACTCGTCCATCTGAATAACTGCCAAATTGCTCTCCGTGGTGCTAACGTTTAAAAAAAAGCCACTTTTTTCAAATTTTCTTGCTGTGGTTTTCACACCTGATGATGATTGCTTGTGTTGCAGTCGAAACGTCATGAGAATTTAATTGTTTTATATTTTTATTATTTTATTGTTTCCCTTCTACGTTACTTTACCGAAAGAACCAATAATATAGTGCATACGTTATCAGAGTTATATTTTGTTTGCATTCCGACCGCAGGTATTGTGGTCAATGCAAACATGACTCCTTGTACAAAAAGGTGTCAGTTTTGTTGCCAGATAAAAGGGTAAAAAAACAATTATCATGCTCTGATAACATATGCGTTGTCTTTCAAACTGATTGGCCAGAGACACCCTTTCTTTTATGGTCACCTTTTGGCGAACAGTACAAAGACAATGCACGAATCAGAGCGCTTATAGCTCAGGTCGAGCAGCTCTATTGTTTTCGATACTGGCAGAAAGGCACCATACAGTGAGGGAAAAAAGTATTTGATCCCCTGCTGATTTTGTACGTTTGCCCACTGACAAAGAAAAGATCAGTCTATAATTTTAATGGCAGGTTTATTTTAACAGTGAGACAGAATAACAAAATCCAGAAAAACACATGTCAAAAAAGTTATAGATTGATTTGCAATTTAATGAGGGAAAAAAGTATTTGACCCCCTCTCAATGAAAAAGATATCTGGCTCCCAGGTGTCTTTTATACAGGTAACGAGCTGAGATTAGGAGCACACTCTTAAAGGGAGTGCTCCTAATCTCAGCTTGTTACCTGTATAAAAGACACCTGTCCACAGAAGCAATCAATCAATCAGATTCCAAACTCTCCACCATGGCCAAGACCAAAAAGCTCTCCAAGGATGTCAGGGACAAGATTGTAGACCTACACAAGGCTGGAATGGGCTACAAGACCATTGCCAAGCAGCTTGGTGAGAAGGTGACAACAGTTGGTGCGATTATTCGCAAATGGAAGAAACACAAAAGAACTGTCAATCTCCCTCGGCCTGGGGCTCCATGCAAGATCTCACCTCGTGGAGTTTCAATGATCATGAGAACTGTGAGGAATAAGCCCAGAACTACACGGGAGGATCTTGTCAATGATCTCAAGGCAGCTGGGACCATAGTCACCAAGAAAACAATTGGTAACGCACTACGCCGTGAAGGACTGAAATCCTGCAGCGCCCGCAAGGTCCCCCTGCTCAAAAAAGCACATATACATGCCCGTCTGAAATTTGCCAATGAACATCTGAATGATTCAGAGGACAACTGGGTGAAAGTGTTGTGGTCAGATGAGACCAAATGGAGCTCTTTGGCATCAACTCAACTCACTGTGTTTGGAGGATGAATACTGCCTATGACCCCAAGAACACCATCTCCACCGTAAAACATGGAGGTGGAAACATGCTTTGGGGGTGTTTTTCTGCTGAGGGGACAGAACAACTTCACCGCATCAAAGGGACGATGGACGGGGCCATGTACCGTCAAATCTTGGGTGAGAACCTCCTTCCCTCAGCCAGGGCATTGAAAATGGGTCGTGGATGGGTATTCCAGCATGACAATGACCCAAAACACACGGCCAAGGCAACAAAGGAGTGGCTCATGAAGAAGCACATTAAGGTCCTGGAGTGGCCAAGCCAGTCTCCAGACCTTAATCCCATAGAAAATCTGTGGAGGGAGCTGAAGGTTCGAGTTGCCAAACGTCAACCTCGAAACCTTAATGACTTGGAGAAGATCTGCAAAGAGGAGTGGCACAAAATCCCTCCTGAGATGTGTGCAAACCTGGTGGCCACCTACAAGAAACGTCTGACCTCTGTGATTACCAACAAGGGTTTTGCCACCAAGTACTAAGTCATGTTTTGCAGAGGGGTCAAATACTTATTTCCCTCATTAAAATGCAAATCAATTCATAACATTTTTGACATGCGTTTTTCTGGATTTTTTTGTGGTTATTCTCTCTCTCACTGTTCAAATAAACCTACCATTAAAATTATAGACTGATCATTTTCTTTGTCAGTGGGCAAACGTACAAAATCAGCAGAGGATCAAATACTTTTTTCCCCTCACTGTAAGTTACTCACCAGGATCCCTTTGAGTTCCACAATGGCGCTGTTAGGTTTGTCGCAGCTCTCCTCCTTAGGCTGCACCTTGACTCGAGCCTGCGACGAGCAAAACACGCGGCACGGCGGGGCTCACGACCATTCCACGCTGGGAAGGAATTTTCAAAGTGTAAATAAAAAAAGGTAAAAGTGCAGGCCTGCATTTTGCTTGCTCACGCCACTGCTTGCAGAAGGGCCTCCACGAGAGACGCCTGAGAGAACATCCGGAGGGTATTTGGCCTACTCTTCCCCGCCGGTCGGATGTCTTGGAAGAATCGGGATTACCCACGCTTTACCCCACCACACGTGAGCTGCCAATGAACTCTCATTTGGTGTACCCATTGATGTTGCTGTGAACAATGAGCAGACAGCTGATAACCTTAGAGACTCCATTTGGAAGGCTTATTTTTCCCGTCAATGTCCATCGTCTTATTCTTGTGCCACGTGGTGGCATAAGATTAAACCTTTCCCGTTCCGATGACGTACATTGGAAGAAAAACTAAAATAAAATGACTTCATCGGTACCGTTCGGCGCCAGCCATCGTAGAGTGCGGTCGTGTCGCTGCAGTTCTCTGCGGTGAGCACAATGTCTGTAAAAAGAACGGCGCTGCGCCTCTAGAAATAAAATGAACGCCGAGCCACTCGCGCGTTCCGAGATTCAGCGGTGAACAGGACCCCCCCACCCTGCAACTTGCAGTTGTCTCGATAAACGGGAGAAGGTGAAGCGTGAATGCGTTAGCCCCTCAAGAGGTCAATCAGGAGATGATCAGGAGATGTTATCTGTATGTTATCTGTATGTTATCTGTATGTTATCTGATTTTTAGGGTTTTTCATGGTTACCTCATCTTCCCCTTTTCTTTGCCTCTGCTCCCCCCTCCCCTCTACCCTCGGGTCTTCGCTAGCCATGTTGGTTATATCCCCCCCATAGCTCCCACCCCCCCTCCCCCGTTTTTCCCTCCCCATTGAAATCTTCCTTTCCCCCCCCGCCCCCCACGTGAGGTTTCCCACTTGGTTGGAGGCAGTGGGCCCCCATCACTCCCCTTCTTCTCGTCTTTTCCCACACCCCCCTACCCCCTTTCGTGTGGTAGCCGTTGTGCCGAGGGACAGCAAGTCGCGGATTTTCGTGTTTGTAAAAAAGAAACGAATAAATGCGTATGAAAAATAAAATGATGTAACATAAGTATATAAAACATACAAATAAATAACCTAAAACAATAATGCGAGCATCTCTGGACACCTGTTGTGGCTTTCTGTGCGTGTGGGTGAGAGAGGCATCAGGGTGCACTAAGTGGATTTCCGTGCGTGTGGGTGAGAGGCACCAGGGTGCACTAAGTGGATTTCCGTGCGTGTGGGTGAGAGGGGTACCAGGGTCCCACCGACAGGCTTGAGAGGCACGCCCCTCCGGATCCGCTCCATCATCTCGTCCACCGCCTTCTTGCGCACCTCCTCCAGGGAGTCCGGCTCGCCTGCACGGACGCAGGCCAAGCGTGAGTCGCAGCTCCGGAGTATCTCTCGGACAATAGTTTGGTACGTACGTACGTATCATGTTGAACTTCTTTCGCACCATACGTGGACAACTGTGCCAATTATATTCGCGTCTCTGTCACAGTGCTCCCCAAAATGACATTTCACAATTCAACGCTCATCCCGGTATGCTAGCAAAGCAAAAGGGGCAGTTACTGGTCGACTGGCTGAAGATCACCGAGGGATTTTCCTTGCTGCCGTGCGCACACCCGCCCACAGCAATTCACCGGGGAACACATTTCCTGCCTCATGAGGCGACGATCATTGCACAGCCTCACGGCCTCGGCTGCGTCAGCAAACGGCACAAATGGCGATCGCCTGCCAGATGCGCCGTGCATCACCCACACGGAGCACACCGGCAAACCGTAGCCGGAGAGCGCGACACCTCTCCAGCCGAGGGAAACTCGCGCAGCTCATCTCACCGGGCAAGCGCGCGAGCCGGCCGTACCGTTTGCGGCCGAACCCTCGGGCGCGTTCCCCTTCGAAGGCAGGCCGGCGTCCTTCTTCTTCAGCAGCGCGATGAGCGTCCTGCGACAACGATTCGTGCCAGCGACGGGACGCGGAGGAGGGAAAGTTTTTTTGAAACGGAGAACGGCAAAGGGGAGCGTGCACGCACGCCTACCCCACGCGGCACCGACACCGACCGCTTCCATCGGAAAGCTGGCGACACGTAAAGCGCAGCAAATAGCATCGCGACAGCGCGGCCAAGCTCGTTACGTTTAAACTCGTAGGCTTTGGCGACCGATATCATCCATAATACAGGTCGTTTTGGGTACGATCGCGGAAGCGCGAATGTGTCGCTCAACCCCGTTTCACGGGTTTAACGACACATTATATTCACGCGAACTAACCCAAAAAAAAAAAACCTGTATTATGGAAACAAATTCCGGTTTCACGATGCAAACGCTGGCTCAATCTTTGCACCCAAACCTCGGGTGGGGATGAGCAATGCCCCGTACCCATTTTGACGGGAGCCGCACGCTTTTTGACTTGAGCTGCTTAAATCGTACGTTACGGAATAAACATTTAAAAATGCAGACCATTCCACTGCCACATTGCGGTCGTAAACGTGGCAAGGGCCTCCTGAAAGAAGGAGCAATGGAACTGAGCGAGACTTTCCCAGGTAAACAAGTGGAGTAAGTTGTTGTTGTCTCAAAGTGTTGTCTCATTTTTATCCCCTCCAAAGCACCTCACTCATTGAGTAGTTTGAGGCGATTACACCCAGGATGGTCACGTGACTATAAATATCCGCACATCAGTGACATGCGGTGAGGTCAATGGCTGGGGAGGCACTGGCTAGTGTCAGAGCCAGATTCACACACTGAAGGGGGCGTGGCCTCACTGAGGGGGCATGGCCTCACTGAAGGGGGCGTGTTAGACACGTCCTCCTCAGTGAGGCAGATGTGATAGCTGCCTCCCCTGGTGCTTTTTCATTGCAGTTTCATGACGAGACCAGCGAGCCTAAATATCTTAATACACATACGTGAAATAAGTTAACCTGGAGTATGGAAGGCGAGGACATGAATGAAGGGGTCTACAAACATTACATTGGTGACACACTGAGATAGTAACAGGCACGCGCTTATTACCCGCGCTCCATCCAGTTACTGAGGGGTTGCGCAATCAGAGGGGAGGCTGAGCTCGTCGCTGCCTCACCTCTCGTCTCTTCCTGTATAATGCAGCGAAGCTCCACAAATTTGGCGATTTTGACTATATAAATCATTGGAATCGTACAGAAATGGCATTTAGAACACAGATCAGTGGAAAAATCTTAATATTTATGTTACTTTATTATTCTTTTCCTTTTACTCTTCGTAACAGCTATTTTCATTGCAGTATAACAGCTGAGGCTCTGCCTCCCCTGACCGCACGTCCCTGCCGCACATGCGTATGCGGTTTAGGGTGGACCATGAGCTTTTGAGCCTCCCCAATGGTCACTGTCTACCCTAAACCGCATCCGCACAAACCATGGCAGCAGATGCAGATACCTGATGCACAAATGTAAAAATCTCCAGCAGTGTTGGCTCATACAGAGCAGACCGCATAACGACGCAATTCCCGATCCGAAAACACGAAGTGGACATCACAGCGGTATACACTCCCGCTGCTCCTGACGCGGTTGTTACTCGACCACCTAAATGTGTAATTGTAGTTGTTGCTCTGCATCTACATTAGCAGCCATAAGACAGAAGAAGAATTAAGCTGTATTAAACAACCTGGAGAACAACAACCACTACCTTTCAGTAACCATAACCGTATCTCTCCCTACATGCTTACTCAGAGGTGGTGTTTGTATTTGTAGTTCCCCGAGTTGTTTAACAAAGCCTCATTGATTTATCGTCACGAGACCATGCCGAGTGTAATCACCTTGAACTACTTAACTGGTGAGGTATGTGCGTATGTGGGTACATTGATCTTCTTTCGCACCGTACGTAGCCAACTGTGCTAATCGGAGGTGCGGCGGGAACGAATATGAACGGACATCACCGAAAGTAAATGGAGAGACCGGGGTGGGGGAGGGGGCGGTATTCCGTTGTTTAACGCATCTTGGGGTAAGAACAGTTCATCCACCAGCAAACGGGCGGACTTGGTGACGCGGGGGACCCCGCCGCGCTCTCCTCACCGTAGGGGGTTTGCGGGGGGCAGAGCGGGCATGGGTGGGAGCGGCGGCGGGGCCGGGGGCTCGGTGGCTTTCTTCAGGCGCTTTTGAAGCTCTTCCACTGCGGGGACCGACGGCGGAAGGGGGCGACGCGCGCAGGTTAAACGTACGCGGCCACGACAGCCTTCGCCGTTGGCTTCTCTGGGGGTCAGATTGCACGGGTAAAAAAAAATGCGTCATCGTCGTCAGACACCCTCCTCCACACGGCACGGCCAATTAACAAAGTCGTTGACACGCGAATAAACGTGGCCAATGTATTCACTCTCCAACAGCGCCACCGGTAATGCTGGGGGAGCGATCCACACACACGTTGAACAATTGCGGAATGACGTTTCGCTGGTAGTTACAACCAGCAACATCAAGCAGGTGCCAGTAATCAGACAACTCGCGACCGCCTGATAATATTTGTTGGTCACGAAAGCCTACGTATGAAATATGAGTTTTTCACTTGCAACGATGAGCTTAATAATGTCGGTATAATTTCCATATAATAAAATGTACTTTGCCCAGGAGAGCCTCACTGAGTCTGAAGATTATTTTCTCAGGAGGGTCCTGCCAAATTTCACAGTAGAGGGCACAACAGCAATGCGCGAAACGCCTTCCCAACTGAGTAATTCGCGAGTCATTTAAAGCAAGTTTTGACAAAACCATGGCACCAACACACGTGGCCTACTTAAACAAAAAAACAATAAAGGTCAAGGGGTATTTAGGGTTAATACGACCCCGCAGTATTAACCAGGGCGGCCATGGGGCTCGAACCGCGTGCCTCTGCAAGAAGCGGCAAACCTTCTGCCAATCGCGCGGTCATGTCGCTGCCCAAATTTAAGATTTCAAAGTAACGGGTGTTTCTTTAGCCTTAAAGATTAACGTATATCACTTAAGTCCCCTTAAATTGACTTTGCGCCTGACAATTCGGTGACCGTTCACGACCAGGAATGTATTCTATTATTTATTATCTTGCCGCTCTAAGAGGGATTGTGGTGGTGGTCCTCGTTGTGAAGTTGCCCCAACGCCTGCAGTCCCCAACCCACCACTGCCACGTCCACACTCCCCACCCTCCCTCCATCCACAACCACTACCCAAACCATCCCAAACCTTGTGTTCTATAGGGCGGGGCTTCGACAGAAAGAGGCGGGGCTTCGGCAGAAAGAGGCGGGGCCTAAGTAGAAAGGCGCGAGGCCCTCAACAGAAAGAGGCCACACAGGCCAACTTTTAGCATTCATTTGCAGCTAATGTAATAATTATTTAATTTTACATTAATGCAATTGCATCCCACAATGCTGCACATCTATTATCCAGTTTCTGTACACAGATAATATGAAAACCAAGCCCCACGACTTAGCATATAAAACAATTTTTGTATACATAAATAATGAGAGAAAAAAGGAAAAAATTATCGCAGAGAAAATTAATTAAAATAAATACATCCGTTCGGTCTCCATACCCCAGACCACAAAAATCCCAACATTTAGCAAGATTTTAGAGAACCTTCACTGGAGGGGTGGTGGAGTGGCCAAAAAGTTATGAGCCAAATTGGACAATCATGTAAATGCATATTTTCCAGCGTATGCTCGGACAAATAAAATAGGCCTTTAGTTCAGATTTGAATTGGTTAATTGATTTTATTTGTCGGGTGTGTAGCGGGAGAGTGTTCCGGACTGTGGGGGCTGCGCATGTGAATGCTCGTCCACCAATTGATTTGTGTTGAATTGTTGTCAATTCATGTAGATGCCACTAGGAGCACAATGCTCATGGCTCCCATAGTCCGAGGCAACTCATCATATTTAACGACGACTGTTGACATTTGCGATCACTTCAGCTGCAATTTGTATTATTTCTCACATTACAACTTGCGGTGGCATAGCAGAACACACGTTGCACTATGAACCTGGTGAGCCGATTTGAATTCCTAGCCATGGCCATGATCCATTAGTGATCGGTGATAACTTAATAACTACTGGGCACCCTGCCACCATTCACCAAACCACATTGACCAGGTTAGTGAAGTATGGTCAAACAACCCCCAGAACCAACACAGTGTGGGAGAGCCTCTGTCTAACAAGGGCTAAACATTGCAATACATGTAATCATTAACTTGTTATTATTATTACAATGGTGCTAGCCTACCCGTGTATTCATGTGTTATATCCGTGCCTGTATGCTCAGTAATCCCATAGAACCGGGGGAAAGCCAAGCTGAGCATTGGAAGAGGCGACGCTGACCGCGTGTTTTTGCACGCACTCATTTGAGTCGATTGACACGGACGACGTCACTACAACTCGACGGCCACTTCATCTCAGGTACAGGTTGATGGATACACGAACCCTTCCTCTCTCTAAGGCAGCAATGCGTCCTGTCGCTCAGCACACCAACTGACATGTCAGAGTCCGCCAATGGAATCTCCCGGCGTGCAAGTTGAATGAATGGGGTGCAGGTTTCCGCTCCGTCCACCGAGCGGCGGTGTAACAGGGTTCACACGCGGTTCGTGGACCGGAAGGTCGCACGTCGCGGGGCAAAAGCGTGCCGACTACCAACACACTTCCACTACGTCTGATGAGCGTGGAAGAGTAGGCCAAACAATGTACAAAGTAGGCTAAAATACCCTCGAGGGGGCTCTCCGCAGCTCGATGTAGTAGAGGCCCTTCCACCAGCAGTGGAGTAAGCAAGCAATTGCAGGGCTGCCCCTTTAGGTGTTACACGGTATTTAATATTAACTCACAGGATAGCAACATCCTCGATTAACGCGGTGGTTTATATTATTCCACAGCTTCAAATGACAACCTGAGCGTAACCTGCAGTGCCGAGCATGGTAAAGTATAGTCAAACAAATCCCCCCAAGACTTGGAATGAAGATACTTTCATCCGGCAGTTGTACAACAAAGGGCTGTACGTTGTTGTTATTTTTTTTTAATTGTTACAGAGAATGGAACAATTTAGATACAAACCCTTTCTCATTCGGTCACCCAATGGCCACCTGCAAACCAATCTGGCCGATCGTCTCAAGAGAACGGGACCTCAAAGCCGGCGGGCCCCTACTCAGAACCTCATCCCTCGACTCCCTGACCATCTCCCCCTGAACCAAGCCTGGCACAGCGCCGCGTCTCCGTGGGGCTGCTCCGATCGTTGTAAGAATCACAACAAAAGTCCCCCGTGTTGCCTTTAACAGACTGCCGGGGCAAGCGCCGTTAGCGAGCGCCTACGAAGGCCGGCAACGGCACACGACGTGGGGGCTCTGTAGCGCTCCCTCCAATGGAGCTCCCTTCGTTCAGCAGTGGCGTGGGCAAGCGATCGTAGGAGCTGCGCCATTAACCGTCACCGCCATAAACTCTGCCTTCGAAGCGCCGCCACCCCCTCCCACCACCACCCCCATTGCACGACGGCAGCGTGGCCGAGGAGCGCGGTGAGCGCGGTGAGCGCGGTGAGCGCGGTGAGCGCGGTGAGCGCGGTGAGCGCGGTGAGCGCGGTGAGCGCGGTGAGCGCGGTGAGCGCGGTGAGCGCGGTGAGCGCGGTGAGCGCCGCACCCTCGTGCTTGAGGTCTCGGGCGGACGCCTCCGCCCGCTCCGTGCGCGCGTCTTTCTCCCTCATGTCCTCCTCGGCCAGCTCCAGTCGCCGCTGCAGAGACTCCAGCTCCTTGCGCAGCTCCAGGCTCTCCAACTTCTCCTGCAGCTCCTTCACCTGCGGCGCAATGGAACCAGCCGGAGCGACGGATGCGTGTGGGTGGGGAGCGGTGGTGTCGCCGGTTAGCACTACGCTGCGCTACGCACCTGGAGACCTGGGTTCGATGCCCGCTCACGGCCAACACCAGTGACGATTATATTTATCCCAAACGGTCTTGGGCCTCCCCTAGGTCGACTAAGCCTCAAATGAGGCATCTGGTGCGGTGAGTAGTAAACATTGCCACTGGGGAGACAAAGGCGGCCGGGCGTGGTGCTGGCCACCCACCCCCTCGTGTGCCGTGCCGGCCTTCACAGGTACTCGCTAACAGCACTTGCCTCAACAGTCTGTGTAAGGCTACACGGGGGATCTCTGTCTTTGTTTGTGTGGGTGCCGCACCACAGACAACCGGGGTGCTCGGGCCCCCCCCCCCGCCGTGGGGGAGTGGGGGGGGGGGGGCGGAGAGCGGTGGGGGAGCCAAATAGCCGAGCCCAGGAGCGAGCACCACCTGCAGCTGGTGCGAGCGCCGCTCTGCCTCCAGCTGGCTGGTGAGCGTGGCGTTATCCTCCAGCGCCTCCATCAGCTGCTGCTCGGCCGCGTGGCTCTGCAGCAGCATCTGGCTCTGCCGCTGCATCTTCTTCTGCTCCACCAGCATCTGCGTGGGGGGGGGGGGGGTCACGCACAAACGTGAGGGAGGGGGGTGGGGGGGCGAGGACGCCGGAGATCTCCGCACGCCGCAAGCGACCGCACGTGCCGATAAACAATTGTATTTATTTATTTTACCATGTGAGGCCCACTGAACAACGTAGCTCTTTTTCAGAAGTGACCTGGCCACGAACGATATCGCAACCAAGTGGCTTATCACGTGGAAACTTACAGCAGCCAAACAGTCCCAGCGTACGTTGATTTTTTTGAAAACGTGGACGGAAAAACCGGAGGACCCGGGAAATAAAAACGCCGCCACCACTAGGTGAAAGGACACGCAAACTTCAAATATGCAGCAGGCGCCACCGGTTGGGACCCACAACCACCCCTAACCCCAGGCCGCCAAGACTTCCTGCCACCGTAGCGCCCCTATAAATATGCAAAGCGATGTTGTTTACGCAGACTGCATCTCACAATCTGTGGGGAATCACAGACAAGCCGGAAAGGCAGCAGTAGCAGTCAGTCGGTGAGCCGGTGCGACCAACAATTGCCCAATATATTAAGATGTTTTCAGCCAATTAATGAGCGTTTATATCACATGGCAGGAAATGGGAGCCAGCGGAGAAGAGACACAAAATCCCCAATTCAGAATATATTATCCTGCCCTTTGCTGTAATGCCTTCGCCTGGCGAGCCAGGGTATGTTAAACCCGCCACCACCCGACACGGCCCCTGAGTAAGATTTGTCACGTTAACCAAGCGTGCCAATTAGTCACGAGTTTATATTTAAGCAATCTAACCCAAAAAAACCTTTACGACTGATAATATTGGTTTGCGAAAGCCTACTACGTGTTAAACTAACGTTTGTGCGATCCACCAACCCTCGCTGCTGCCCCCACAGTGCTGGATTACTACAGACCACGTGCATAGCCTCCACCGCCCGGCTGACGGACACCTTGTGGTGCTGACCACGTCCCACCCCCTGATCACCATCCGTAGTGATGACCCATTTAGGGCCCTGGGGACTTGAAGACGTTTTTATATTTCTGGTAATTGCCCGATGATGGTGATGATGCTGGTTGTTGTAGCTATCAGCGAAACGTCTAAATGTGCCCAACACCACCACCGGTGATGCTGATGCAGCAATACATTGGCACGTTTTGTTCATTAAGTAGAGGGACTTTATTAGTTGGCTATTGGGGTGCGCCCAAGGTGTACGATCTGACCCACAGATTATCCAGGTGTATCTATGGGATCTTTTTGCCTGTATCAAAAATACAGAATAATTTAGTAATATTCCAAGAAAGGGTAAAACCTTTTATTATTATGATTATTATTTGTCATCGTTATCCAGGTAATATATCTGAATACAAATGTGTTATTTTTCTTTCAGATTGACACATTTATGCCCTGGATTTTAAAGCCAAAGTTAGGGATGCGTCTTACGATCTGGTAGGTGTGTGTATGTGTGACCAGATTTGTATGACTATGTTTAGCAGTATTGAGAAGTCAAAACATGAACTACAATTTATTGTCAAGTAAAATATCTCTTATCAACTTATGCCATGAATCATAGTAATCGTAGGGGCATTCAGCCTGAGTTTCTATCGTATCTGTAAACCTGCTCTTACTGTTATCAGCAATATATAAAAGGTAAAGTTGTGACTATGCGTGTCTGTTCAAAATGTTTAGCCTACTTCCTGACATGCAACAAACTTGAAATTTGCCATGTGGGTAGTTTCCAGGCTATACACTAAGCAAACATTATAGAAATACACTTTTTTGGGGGGGGGGGGGGAGCTCAATAATGCATTTTTTTTTGCACAGCAAGTGAGCTGTGACGTCAAATCTGTCATGTGACTCTCGCATGTGGAAGCGAAACGCATTGTAGTGTAGTGGTTAGTGCGCTGCGCTACGAAACCGGCGACTCGAGTTCGATTCCCGCTCACGGCCACCGCCGGTGACAATTATTTGAACCGGTCCTGGGCCTCCCCTAGGTCGACTCAGCCTCAAACGAGTAAGTGGTGGCCGGGCGTGGTGAATCCAAGTCCCGGGCGAAACCGGGTAGTAAAGCTAGTCAGCAATATAGTAGATAATTTGAGGTATCCCAAGATAGGTGCGTTTAGAGTATTTGGCTGCTATAAGTGTCCACGCGATAATCCACTTTGTTGAGCTATCATTTGTGGCCAGGTCGCTTCTGAAAAAGAGCTACATAGCTCAGCGAGCCTTACCTGGTAAAATAAAAAAAAAATAGTTTCGTTTAGATGTCACACGGCCGAACATTGAATCATTTACGTCGAATTAAAAAAAAAAAAAATTACAGGGGCCACGTGTGATTATTAACCGTTTTTACACGCACGGTGATCCACAACATCGGAGACCAGAGAAAACCCAGGGTGCAGCATGACATCCCTGCGTATGGAACAGCTCACTTACACCAATGCCGAAGTGAACCTGCCGGGACATTAGCATCGTTTAAACCCCAGCGATCAAGGGGTGAGTTGTGCCTCAGCGCCACGTGGCCTCCGTGGGGTCTGCACGTGCTGGACGTCGGCAGCACGCGAAGCCTTTGGCGAGCAACGCGCGTTGCTCGCACGCCACAGAACCCATCGCGTCGTAACCGGCAGAAGTCGAGGGACGCCCGCGGGACATATCGTCATTTGTGTCATCGCTGGCTTCGATCTTCCACGAAGCTCAAGAGCCACAAACCCCTAAACCGCATACCGCTGCGCAAACCATGGCAGCAGATGTGGACACTTTATGCGCAGATGGAAAATTAAAAAAAAACTCTCCGCCAGTGTGCGACTGTGGTCACCCAGAACAGACCGTGGAACGTATAACAACGACTCGGTGCCCGGTTCACAATTACGGAGAAAGAGGCGTCACCACTGCGATGATTCACCACTCCGTCATTCCTAACGCAATCATCCGGCTCGACCACTTCAATGTACAATTACAGTTTTTGCTCGACACCTACATCAGCCATGCGAAGAAAAAGAAAACTCAATTAAGATAAAGACCCCCCCCCCCCCCCCAACACCGCACACAGTCTATTAGGGCAAGTGACGTTAGCGAGCACGTATGAAGGCCATCATACGTGGCCAGCACCACGCCCGGCCGCTTTTGTCTTCCCAGGTGCCGATGTATAATACACCGCACCAGGTAATCAAGAAAGGCTGAGTCGACCGAGGGGAGGCCTAGGACCAGGTCAAGTTTTCTCTGCTGATCTCAGCCATGGCCAGGATTCCAACTCATTTCGCCGGGTTCGCAGCGCAGCGACGTGAAACAAGTTTACCACCGCTCCATCCCATTGATGTATTTACGTACACACGAGTCCACACGCACACGCGCTGACGGGAACTGCTATGCGTTGTGTGTCCATGTCTGCTGCAGGCACGTTCATGTACACGCGCGACTTCTGCCACACGCTGGCGTGAACAGGTGCTGGAATCCACGTACAGGTAAAGCGTGCAGACTTCTGAGAAACCCACACCATGCACGGCTGCAGAAAACGGGACGCTACGAGAGAAAAGGAAGTGCGAATGAGAAAGAGAGGCACGTGGGTACCTTGTGTGCATACTCCTCTGCCTTCTGTCTCAGTTCTTTCTCAAGCTCCAGCTGTTTCTGCACTTCCGCAAATTCCGCCAACGCCAGAACAGAAACTGTCAACACACACATCAACACATTGGCATCGCTGACACACACAAGCACACCGAAATCGATCACACACACACACATCACGCTCGCATCGCTGACACACACACAAACACACTGACATCGATCACACACACACATTAACACACTGGCATCGCTGATAACAACAACCGCCATTCCTCACTAAGTGGCGGTGACGTCACTATGACACTTGTGCCAGGCTATGTGCACGTTAAGGCCACGTGAAGTGTCGAATGCCTGCTGGCAGGAGGTCACGGGACAGACCCAGGTGCCACGGGTCGACTGACTGAGATGACTGGCTGATGCACCACCTGTGCCCCTACTGTGCCAACCTGCTGTGCTTTAGCCACCCGGCGCTCCGCTCGTTGTTGTGAGCGTCGCTCCTCCGCCCTCCGTTGTTGTTGGAGGGCGACTGCCTCCAACTGCCCAGTAGCGTCCTTCACGAGCCTCCTCCAGAGGCCGATCTTGACACCGCTGGTACCAGTCATCGGTAAGTCCACTCATCTCCACATCCTCCTGTACCACAACACTCCATCTCTTCTCTAGCCCATGCCGCGCCCGTTTAGCCCCCTCTATCTGGCCGAACAAAAGCTGTTTCGCCATGCGGTGGCTGGGCATGCGGGCTACATGACCCAGCCAACACAGCCTTGCCTGCCGGAGGAGCTCACCGATGGGACCTTGCCCAGATCTTTCAAGGATTTGTGAGCTCCTCACACAATCCAGCCTGGTTAAACCCAGGATGGATTGTAGGCAGGCCAGCCTAAATGTTTCTAACCGGCGAAGATGTTCCATTAGGGGGGTCCACGTTTCGTGGACACACACACACGTTTCGCTGACACACACACACTGACATCGATCACGCACACACACACACATCACACTGGCATCACTGACACACACAAACACACTGACATTGATCACACACACATCAACACACTGGCATCGCTGACACACATTAACATCGATCGCACACACATCAACACACTGGCATCGCTGACACACACACACTGACATCGATCACGCACACACACATCAACACACTGGCATCACTGACATAGACACACGGACATCGATCACACACAGACACATCAACACACCAACACACTGACACACACACCAACACACTGACATCAATCACACACACACATCAACACACTGACACCGCTGACACACACACACATCAACACACTGACACACCAAACCAACACCAACACACTGACACACACACACACACCAACACACTGACACACACACATCGCTGACACACACACACACATCAACACACTGACACACACACAAAAACACTGACACACACACACATCAACACACTGACACCACTGACACACACACACACACATCAACACACTGACACACACACACATCAACACACTGACACACACACACATCAACACACTGACACACACACACATCAACACACTGACACACACACACATCAACACACTGACACACACACACACATCAACACACTGACACACACACACCAACACACTGACACACACACCAACACACTGACACACACACATACACATCGCTGACACACACACACACACATCGCTGACACACACACACACATCGCTGACACACACACACACATCAACACACTGACACACACACTGACACACACACACATCAACACACTGACACCGCTGACACACACACACACATCAACACACTGACACACACACCAACACACACACATCAACACACTGACACACACACACACCAACACACTGACACACACACACATCAACACACTGACACCGCTGACACACACACACACATCAACACACTGACACACACACACCAACACACTGACACACACACACCAACACACCGACACACACACATCAACACACCGACACACACACATCAACACACTAACACACACACCAACACACACACATCAACACACTGACACACACACACACCAACACACACACACCAACACACACACATCAACACACTGACACACACACCAACACACTGACACACACACACCAACACACTGACACACACACCAACACACTGACACACACACCAACACACTGACACACACACCAACACACACACACACACACTGACACACACACCAACACACACACACACACCAACACACACACACCAACACACTGACACCGCTGAAATAAAAACAGAGACATCGCCCAAACATATAAATAGCCTCTGGTGACAAATCAAAAGTGTGTCACATCGCTGACACACACACACACATCAACACACTGACACACACACAAAAACACTGACACACACACACATCAACACACTGACACCACTGACACACACACACACACATCAACACACTGACACACACACACACATCAACACACTGACACACACACACACCAACACACTGACACACACACACATCAACACACTGACACACACACACTGACACACACACACACACCAACACACTGACACACACACCAACATACTGACACACCCACATACACATCGCTGACACACACACACACATCGCTGACACACACACACATCGCTGACACACACACACACATCAACACACTGACACACACACTGACACACACACACATCAACACACTGACACCGCTGACACACACACACACATCAACACACTGACACACACACCAACACACACACATCAACACACTGACACACACACACACCAACACACTGACACACACACACATCAACACACTGACACCGCTGACACACACACACACACATCAACACACTGACACACACACACACCAACACACACACACCAACACACACACATCAACACACTGACACACACATCAACACACTGACACACACACCAACACACTGACACACACACACCAACACACTGACACACACACCAACACACTGACACACACACCGACACACACACACACACACACTGACACACACACCAACACACACACACACACACCAACACACACACCAACACACACACACACACCAACACACACACCAACACACTGACACCGCTGAAATAAAAACAGAGACATCGCCCAAAAATATAAATAGCCTCTGGTGACAAATCAAAAGTGTGTCAAGATACGCACAGGAGACCTTGGTGACGTGCCGTGGAATAACAAACCGACTTCTTGATACAAACCACAAACTGGAAACCCACTTCGACGGTTCGGCGTAGAAAATGGAGCAGTTTAAACGTAACACGGAGGCTGGATTGTGAGGCACCGAAGGCCCGTGGCTCTTCGCTCTCTCACCATGATTGTAATTGGTAAAGGTCTGCTCCTGGTGAAAGATGACCTCCCCCAGTTGCGTCTTTTCCTTCTCCGCAGCCTTCAGCTCCTCCGTCAGCCGGGTCCGCTCCTCCGTGAGCTCCGTCACGCGCATCTCCAAGTCTGCGAAATCCACAGCCGCTCATATGTCGGGACGGGGCCAGACACCGTGGCAACTTCTTTTGGGGGGAAAAAAATACATAAGCATCCATAGGCTATGAAGAGGACCAATGATGGAGTCAGTTGTGAGTGATTAAATCAAACGATTGCTTTGCCTGAGAGTTGATGAAGTACAGATACCCCCCCACCTTCCCACTCATCCGCACCTCCGATTAGCACGGTTGGCTTGTGCGATGTGAACAAAGTTCAACATACATAGGTACACTACACCCACCCACCACCTTAAAATGTATATTTGGGGCAGTGCGTAGTTGCGAGTTCCAAGGGTTTAGAGTTCGTAGCCCACAATCGGACACAGGAAGACAGAGAGACATTGATTTTCCCACTTGTGCACGAGGCATCTTCCGCGGTTTGTGTGCGGATCCAGGTTAAGCGCTGCCCATTGTTTCCTCGGAAGATCGAAACGCCTACGACCAAATCACCCGAGGATTGCACCCGAGATTCAAATGCAAAAAAGTGCATCGTTTAATCCAGAGAATACGGTCATAGCAACAAAAACATTCACCAGTTGTGATCATGTGACTAAAACTAAAGTAAGCTTCTGGACTACAGTAAAACCTTGGATTGTGAACATAATTCGTTCCGGAAACGTGTTTATAATCCAAAGCATTCGTATATCAAAGCACTCGTTACATATCAGTTGTGATCACGTGATGCTCGGCAGACAAAGCGTATACGTACTACTCGTATTGCAAGACTTCGCTCGTTTATAAAATTAATATTAAAATTTTTGCTCGTCTTGCAAAACACTCGCAGACCAAGTTACTCGCAATCCAAGGTTTTACTGTATTTTTATTTTATCAGGTAAGGCCCACTGAGCTATGTAGCTCTTCTTCTTGGTTCTTTCGGTAAAGTCACGTAGAATTGACATAAAATAATGAAAATAAAACATAATAAAATAAAAATTCTCACGACGTTTTGGCCACAACACAAGTAGCCTTCCTCACGTGAAGAGACAGAACTGTCGGGAAGACAGCGCTTCGGTGAACACGGCCAAGCTTTGGCCGCGTCTTTTAAGGAGTTTACATATCAACAGAAGAATTTAGCATTGAAGTAGCTATGTTAATGTGTTGGATTAGCATGATGCTATAGTCAGAAATTAGCATGTGACTGGGGGATTAGCTCTTTTTCAGATGCGACCTGGCTATCTCAAATTATAGCTCAACGACGTGGCTTATCACGTGGCAATTTATAGCAGTGGCCAAATACTCTAAACGCGTGGTGTTGCTTAGAAATATGGAGGGGAAACGCCGGAGGACCCGGAGAAAAATCCACGCGACCACGGCGAGAGAGACACGCAAACTCCACATACACAGCAGCAGGCGTCAGGGGTTGGGATCGAGCCCACGGCCCCCTGGATACCAGGCGAGGCTGTTAACATATCGCCACTACAGCACCGCGAAGACTGTTGACCAGCCTCAAAGCGAACCGTGACGACATTTCAAAGCCACTTTCATAGCGGAAGTCCCGTGACCTCGACGACCCCGAAAGCGATGAGCGGGGACCGAGACCCGTCGCCGTGCGATCGTCTGCAGGGTCGCGGCCGCGCACGAAGCAAGCTCACCTTTCACCGCCTGCCGGTGCTGGAGGAGGAGCTCCGCGTTGGCGGGCGCCGGGGCTTCCGCGGCGGGGACGGCGGCGGCGGAAGATGCCGCCGGTGCGCCTTCACCGGACGGCTCCAGCTCCTTGGAGACTTCATCCAGCAGGTCATCTGGAAACTCGTGGATGCCCACCTTGGCCATGATGGCCATGCTCATCCGCTTCAGTTTCTTGTTCTCCTTGTTCAGCTGTTCGGGGGGACAGCTGCGGCGTGACTTGGCTGCTACAGGTCGTCGGAGTGTGGGGGCGTTTACTTTTTTTGTTTGTTTGGGTGGACCGTTAGTTTAGAGCGCTCGCTAAAAACAGAACAAGTTTAGGGACTGCAATCTGCACCGATGAATAATTCCTCCTCGAAGACACCGGTGGAACCATCAACCCGCAACAAGACATCAGCAGGCCCGATGTGCCCATCTCGAATCATAAACGGACAATTAAAGAACACAAGCCACAGCAGTAGTGCGACTGTGGCCATGCAACCCAAACTATGGGCCGTGTAGTAAAGCCACTGTAGTCTGTGCTCCTTCAATGGAACAGGAGGAACAGCAAAACTGCACATTGCTTGGTGTTGTAACGTTCTGACCGGCCCCTACTGGACATAGTGAAAAAGAGCTTTATAGCTTATAGGATTCCTCCTGTATAAATACATACTCTGATTCTGAAGTCCGATGTCAAGGTCGAAAGCCGCGAAGGCCAAGTTTTGGGGGTCTTTTTAGGTGTAGGCCGGTGATAAGGCCGGTGCCTCAAAGCCAAGGCCTCAGGTCAAGGCCACACTCCCCCAGGGCCAAGGTCCTGGAGATGGCCTTTAAGCCCAGGACCAAGTGTCGAGGGCCCAACACCGGTTCGAGCATGGCCACGTGCTCACACGCGTGTGTTGCTAGGTGCACACGCAAGCGCGTTGCAAGGCGCGCGCGTTGCTAGGCACGTGTGCGTGTGTGTTGCTAGGTGCTCGCACACGCGCATGCGTTTCTAGGTGCTCACACGCGTGTGCGTTGCTAGGTGCTCACACACACGTGCGTTGCTAGGTGCGCACACACACGTGCGTTGCTAGGTGCGCACACACACACGTGCGTTGCTAGGTGCACACACACACGTGCGTTGCTAGGTGCACACACACACGTGCGTTGCTAGGTGCACACACACACACACACGTGCGTTGCTAGGTGCACACACACACGTGCGTTTCTAGGTGCACACACATGCGTTTCTAGGTGCACACACACGTGCGTTGCTAGGTGCACACACACACGCGTTGCTAGGTGCACACACACACGTGCGTTGCTATGTGCACACACACGTGCGTTGCTATGTGCACACACACACGTGCGTTGCTAAGTGCACACACACACGTGCGTTGCTATGTGCGCACACACACACGTGCGTTGCTAGGTGCACACACACACGTGCGTTGCTAGGTGCTCACACACGTGCGTTGCTAGGTGCACACACACACGTGCGTTGCTAGGTGCACACACACGTGCGTTGCTAGGTGCACACACACGTGCGTTGCTAGGTGCGCACACACACACGTGCGTTGCTAGGTGCACACACACGTGCGTTGCTAGGTGCGCACACACACGTGCGTTGCTAGGTGCACACACACACGTGCGTTGCTAGGTGCACACACACACGTGCGTTGCTAGGTGCGCACACACACACGTACGTTGCTAGGTGCTCACACACGTGCGTTGCTAGGTGCGCACACACACACGTGCGTTGCTAGGTGCACACACACACACGTGCGTTGCTAGGTGCTCGCACACACACGTGCGTTGCTAGGTGCTCGCACACACACGTGCGTTGCTAGGTGCGCACACACACGTGCGTTGCTAGGTGCACACACACACGTGCGTTGCTAGGTGTGCACACACACGTGCGTTGCTAGGTGCACACACACACACGTGCGTTGCTAGGTGCTCGCACACACACGTGCGTTGCTAGGTGCGCACACACACATGCGTTGCTATGTGCGCACACACATGTGCGTTGCTAGGTGCACACACACACACGTGTGTTGCTAGGTGTGCACACACACGTGCGTTGCTAGGTGCACACACACACGTGCGTTGCTATGTGCACACACACGTGCGTTGCTAGGTGCACACACACACGTGCGTTGCTAGGTGCTCACACACACGTGCGTTGCTAGGTGCACGCACACACGTGCGTTGCTAGGTGCACACACACGTGCGTTGCTAGGTGCACACACACACACACGTGCGTTGCTAGGTGCACACACACACGTGCGTTGCTAGGTGCACACACACACACACACGTGTGTTGCTAGGTGCACACACACACGTGTGTTGCTAGGTGCACACACACACGTGCGTTGCTAGGTGCACACACACACACACGTCACCAGAGTGTGGCTCGTACCGTTGTCGCGAAGCTTTCTGCACGCTGCCTGCACGACTTCTGCACTTCCAGCTGCGTCTGCATGGCATTCACTTCCTCCAGCACCAAGTGGGACACTGACACACGTGCCACATGCAGGGGTCAGAGCAAAGCGGCACTTGCAGTTGTTAAAATACAACAATGATGGGGAAGCTTATAAATTAACAATGATATATTAACTAACGGTGGGGCACAGCAGCCCCTGATGAGGTAAACTCGTATGTGTTAAATGGAGATTAAGTATCTTATCGTATATTTATATAGCGCTTTTATCCGAGGTGCTTTACAAGGGTTATGAGCGGTACAATGAGGGTAGCTAAAGGCGATGCAGTGAATTCGGGATGGGGTATGGGGAGGGTGGTTAGTGGGCACCGGAATTACGGCAAGTGCCTTGGGGTGGAGGGAAGGATGGGCCAGGGAGAATGGGTGGGGGTCGTGAGGGAACGAGCGGAAACGAGACAGGGGGAGAGAGAGGGTGCTACTTGCTTCATGTGCAGGGGAACTTTTGTTCCGGAGCAAGGGGGGAACGGTGAGGACTAGGAGGAGAGATCGCGAGTGGAGCGAGCGGGAGGGATGCGGGGCGAGGCCATGAAATAAAAACTGAAAGGAAAATTCACCGAGTTGAGTCTTTCATGAAAGCAGACTACTTGGCCCCGTCGGCCATGTTGTAGGTTGTCATCGTCCACCCGAGTGGTTAGTAGTGCATGCAGAGCTGAGATTGTTCGCCGGAGATCTTCATCACCAGGGACAGCGATGTGAGCTCCCGTTAAATGGCATGAGGAATGCCAATTGTGCTAAATATGGCACGGCAACCCCTCGCCACGGCAACCCCTCGCCACGGCAACCCTCGCCACGGCAACCCCACGCCACGGCAACCCCTCGCCGCGGCAACCCCTCGCCGCAGCAACCCCTCGCAGCGGCAACCCCTCGCCGCGGCAACCCCTCGCCACGGCAACCCCTCGCCACGGCAACCCCTCGCCGCGGCAACCCCTCGCCGCGGCAACCCCTCGCCACGGCAACCCCTCGCCATGGCAACCCCTCGCCACGGCAACCCCTCACCGCGGATACCCATCGCCATGGGTGCTGCGTGTGTGGGGATTGCCTGTGTGCAGGATTGCCTGTGTGTGGGGATTGCCTGTGTGTGGGGATTGCCTGTGAGTGGGGATTGCCTGTGAGTGGGGATTACCTGTGTGTGGGGATTGCCTGTGTGTGGGGATTGCCTGTGTGTGGGGATTGCCTGTGAGTGGGGATTGCCTGTGAGTGGGGATTACCTGTGTGTGGGGATTGCCTGTGTGTGGGGATTGCCTGTGTGTGGGGATTGCCTGTGAGTGGGGATTACCTGTGTGTGGGGATTGCCTGTGTGTGGGGATTGCCTGTGTGTGGGGATTGCCTGTGAGTGGGGATTGCCTGTGAGTGGGGATTACCTGTGTGTGGGGATTGCCTGTGAGTGGGGATTGCCTGTGAGTGGGGATTACCTGTGTGTGGGGATTGCCTGTGTGTGGGGATTGCCTGTGTGTGGGGATTGCCTGTGAGTGGGGATTGCCTGTGTGTGGGGATTGCCTGTGTGTGGTTATTGCCTGTGTGTGGGGATTGCCTGTGTGTGGGGATTGCCTGTGAGTGGGGATTGCCTGTGTGTGGGGATTGCCTGTGTGTGGTTATTGCCTGTGTGTGGGGATTGCCTGTGTGTGGGGATTGCCTGTGTGTGGGGATTGCCTGTGTGTGGGGATTGCCTGTGTGTGGTTATTGCCTGTGTGTGGGGATTGCCTGTGTGTGATCAATGCCTGTGTGAGTGATCAATGCCTGTGTGTGATCATTGCCTGTGTGTGATCAATGACTGTGTGTGATCAATGCCTGTGTGTGATCAATGCCTGTGTGATTAATGCCTGTGTGATCAATGCCTGTGTGTGATCAATGCCTGTGTGTGATCAATGCCTGTATGTGATCAATGCCTGTGTGTGATCAATGCCTGTGTGTGATCAATGCCTGTGTGTGTGATCAATGCCTGTGTGTGATCAATGCCTGTGTGTGATCAATGCCTGTGTGAGTGATCAATGCCTGTGTGTGATCATTGCCTGTGTGTGATCAATGACTGTGTGTGATCAATGACTGTGTGTGATCAATGACTGTGTGTGATCAATGCCTGTGTGTGATCAATGCCTGTGTGATCAATGCCTGTGTGATCAATGCCTGTGTGTGTGATCAATGCCTGTGTGTGATCAATGCCTGTGTGAGTGATAAATGCCTGTGTGTGATCATTGCCTGTGTGTGATCAATGACTGTGTGTGATCAATGACTGTGTGTGATCAATGACTGTGTGTGATCAATGCCTGTGTGTGATCAATGCCTGTGTGAGTGATCAATGCCTGTGTGTGATCAATGCCTGTGTGTGATCAATGCCTGTGTGTGATCAATGCCTGTGTGAGTGATCAATGCCTGTGTGTGATCATTGCCTGTGTGTGATCAATGACTGTGTGTGATCAATGCCTGTGTGTGATCAATGCCTGTGTGTGATCAATGCCTGTGTGTGATCAATGCCTGTGTGTGTGATCAATGCCTGTGTGTGATCAATGCCTGTGTGAGTGATCAATGCCTGTGTGTGATCATTGCCTGTGTGTGATCAATGACTGTGTGTGATCAATGACTGTGTGTGATCAATGACTGTGTGTGATCAATGCCTGTGTGTGATCAATGCCTGTGTGATCAATGCCTGTGTGATCAATGCCTGTGTGTGATCAATGCCTGTGTGAGTGATCAATGCCTGTGTGTGATCAATGACTGTGTGTGATCAATGCCTGTGTGTGATCAATGACCGTGTGTGATCAATGACTGTGTGTGATCAATGACTGTGTGAGTGATCAATGCCTGTGTGTGATCAATGCCTGTGTGAGTGATCAATGCCTGTGTGTGATCAATGCCTGTGTGTGTGATCAATACCTGTGTGTGTGATCAATACCTGTGTGTGATCAATACCTGTGTGTGATCAATGCCTGTGTGAGTGATCAATGACTGTGTGTGATCAATGCCTGTGTGTGATCAATGCCTGTGTGTGATCAATGCCTGTGTGAGTGATCAATGCCTGTGTGTGTGATCAATGCCTGTGTGTGATCAATGACTGTGTGTGATCATTGCCTGTGTGTGTGATCAATGCCTGTGTATGTGATCAATGCCTGTGTGAGTGATCAATGCCTGTGTGTGATCAATGCCTGTGTGTGATCAATGCCTGTGTGTGATGAATGCCTGTGTGTGATCAATGCCTGTGTGAGTGATCAATGCCTGTGTGTGTGATCAATACCTGTGTGTGTGATCAATACCTGTGTGTGATCAATACCTGTGTGTGATCAATGCCTGTGTGAGTGATCAATGCCTGTGTGTGATCAATGCCTGTGTGTGATCAATGCCTGTGTGAGTGATCAATGCCTGTGTGTGATCAATGCCTGTGTGTGATCAATGCCTGTGTGTGATCAATGCCTGTGTGTGATCAATGCCTGTGTGAGTGATCAATGCCTGTGTGTGATCAATGCCTGTGTGTGATCAATGCCTGTGTGTGATCAATGCCTGTGTGAGTGATCATCTGCGCGCTCACCTTGTTGGAGCTTCACGAGTTCTTGCATGGCCGCGTCTCGCTCCTGGGCCAGCAGCGCACACTGTACGCGACACAACCCACACAAAAGACAAAGACCCCCCCCCCGTGTAGCCTTAACAGACTGTTGGGGCAAGTGCTGTTAGCGAGCACCTATGAAGGCCGGCACGGCACACGAGGGGGTGGGTGACCAGCACCACGCCTGGCCGCCTTTGTCTCCCCAGTGACGATGTTTACACACCGCATCAGGTACTAACTTGAGGCTGAGTCTACCTAGGGGAGGCCCAGGACCGGCTCAAATAATCGTCACCGGTGTTGGTCGTGAGCGGGAATCGAACCCGGGTGACCAGGTTCGTAGCGCAGCGCAGCTAACCGCTATGCCACCGCTCCCCACACACAATAGACAAAGGCACCCCCCCACACACCCCCCACACAAGCACACCGCCGATTCAACATCTCCGCGAACCCTCGTACAGATGAAAATGAAGCCACTCGCCGTACTGCCATCATGCCCTTGCACGCCAGGAGATTGCGACGTCGAAGCCCGCAAGTTTTGTTGTGTGGTGATCCAACAACCGTCATTGTCTCCACAGGTTACAGGCCACATGTTATAGCTATGCAGCTCTCTTTCAGAAGCGACCTGGCCACAAATGATAGCTCAATGAAGTGGCCTTATCACGTGGAAATTAATAGCAGCCAAATACGCTCCAGAGGACCCGGAGAAAAGTCCACGGGGAGAACACGCAAACTCCAAATATGCAGCAGGCGTCAGGGTCAGGATCGAACCCACGACCTCCTGCGTACTAGGCGAGGGAGGTAACATCTCGCCACCGCGTCACCACAGCCACCAGTGCCCGGCTGAACATCAGGTCTCATTTTACAGTTCGGGTGAAATTGTACTGCCCCATCCACTGTGTCAGCCCCGATTTGGCATCCTCACGTTCCCATCTGTTCGACACTTTTGCAGAAGATGGGACCTTTGTGGAGGCAACAAGTTGAAGAAGATGACGCCTGCTGCGTCTGTACAGGGGCGGCTGTAGATCCACAGATGCTCGTGCGACGATAACGATGAATCGTTGCATGGTGAACAACGCCGGCCCCTGGTTCAATGTTTGCGGATGCCACCGAAACAACGCCAAATGTTTATGACATTTCCACGGACGAATGCCTTAACGTTTCGTAAGATTTCGTGAAAAGGTTATGGGGGGGGGGGGGGAAGAGGAATTACTTTTGGAGTATCCCGATATAAAAAGTGCTTCAGTGTGAACTAGACTCAAGCGTGCAGACAAGGCATACTTAACCAACACACTCACCAAAAACACTGTGGCCTTAAAAATAAACATAGAATGGGCGACATTTTGGCCAATGGCACTCCTTCCTGGCACATTTGTATTCCACGCTCTTAAGAGATCAACACACTCGCGTGAAATATAGAATAATAATAGACTCATGCGGAGAGTATGCACTTGATCAGCAATCTGTGACTGGTGACAGACCTACTCGAGTGTTTACATTTGATCGGTGACCTTATTGCAATATAAGTACACCGTCACACCTTCAAAAAGTGTACACAAATTTATTTAATTTAAGTAACCTTTTTATTAAGGCGCACATTATGTACAGTAGATCAAAAGTGAGGAGTGGCAGTGATGGTGGTTCGTGCACCATGCTACGCTATGATCTCATGGAACTAAGTTCGATTCCTGGCCAGGGCTAAACACCAGTGATATCCGAATTTTTCATGTTCTCAAATTGTTTCTATCAATTAATTTCATGCAAAAAGTTAACTTGCTTTGCCCCCTCCCCCCCACCCCCATTGCACCACCCTAATCATCCTCGTGGCCGCATTAGGCAGCTATGTTTAGATCGCTTAGCAAATTATGTCCATCCATCCTCAACCACCTAATTAATCATTTACACCGGGTCTAAAGTGTGCAGTGGAACGACTCCCACAGTGGCACTGCATCACAAGCAATGCAATCCACGTCTGCTTGCTACCTTACAAGGGGAGCAGTTCGGGCACACGACTAATTGCTGAGTGGGCTGAGTGGGCCAGTTCACTCATCATCACTGCGGAGACAATTTCCACACAAAGGGTCCATTCGTCTCTCCCTGTTCCCTCGAGTGAAATTCGTGCCACCAGTCAATCGTTTAATCTTACACCGTTTTGGTTTAATCATCACAACAATCCACACAAGAACATTTGCAGTGCCGTTTAAATCACGTGTAAGAAAAAAAAAACGCTTATGCATTCTCAAATATTCCACCTTTCACAACGTGCCAAATATGTTCGTCACGTTGAACCCTGAACGGTAACGACTGTGATCTGCTCTGCCTTCTTCTTAAGGGCTCTGCCCAGGGGCAGTTCTTGGCCTCAAACTCCAATTAGCACGGTTGGCTACGTATGGTGCGAAAAAAGTTAAACGCGCAAAACATACCAACTCCTCGATCAGGGGCAGCGGGTCTTGGCCTCAAACTCCCCTATCTTGAGCTATCTTCTTCACTACACTTTATGCCTCCATCCTTACCATCCACGTCGTCAAGCAGCATTTTTATTTTCTCCTTCTCGGCAGCATCGTCCGTATCGTTCTGATGAGACTGCTCTCCTACCGAACCCTGCTCTAGAACTAGCTCATTCCGCTTTCTGTCCATCAAACGGATTTTCCCCGTTGCGCACCTCACGTGTCCATACAAAACAGAATTATTCCTTTATAGAATAAATACCTTGCCTCATGCTAATCCAGATCGCATGAGCACCCATAAGCCTCTATTCATACACGAATTCTAAACTCCCCAAACTGAAAAGATGGGTAAATTTGCCCTTTCTTGTTTTGTTGTTAAAAAAATGTAACTTTCACTTCGTATAAAAATATACCTTTTCTCCCTCCCCTACGGCCTTAGTGGACAATCCACAGAAATAATCTGATTGGGAAAGAAATACCTTCAAGGGTCTGCTTTACTCCGTTTAACCAGGTGAGAGCTCGAGTGAAAACAGCATGGTCTCATTTACAAAGCGTGACCCGGGTCATCGAAATAACGCGGGGAAAAAATTACGGGAAGCAAATGGGAACCGGCGCGAAAACAATACAAACAAAAATAAGCCTCACAAACTTATTGTACTTTTGCCGTGAAGCACCGTGGGTAGGTGACGCGCCTCGCTATCGCGAACCCAACTTGCGGAGCTGGAGAAACGCTTTGCTCGCTATCTCGCGGTTGTTCACTCAAATGTGGTTTGGCGACAATTTGAACTGGTACTTTCACGAGCCACGAGAACGATAAAGCAGAACTCCCTTCTGTATCTCCGCCAAAATACGACGGACATCGTGAGTGCAATAGCCTCTTTGGCCTTTGGCAGGCCAATGTTGCCAAGCAGCGTTTGTTGGATCAAGCGATCTCTTGTGCCGGCTGCAACCTTCTGGGTGCTGATGATGGAACAAACAAAAAAATTATTCGGTTTAACACGTAGACTTTCGTGACCAATATCATCCATAATAGAGGTTTTCTGGGGTTAGATCGCGTAAATATGTAAATGTTGTGTCGTTAAAACCCACCACCACCCGACACAGTCAACTAGTAAGGGTTGTCACGTAAACAGAACGTGCCAATTCGTCACTAGTACAGCACCACCGGTGTGCTGAAGAGCCAAGCCACAAGTTCAAAAGGGCTCGCATAATGCACATGCATAATGTACGTTGCCTCAGTAATCCCCCCCCCTCCACATTGTGCAAGAGCGCAGAAGTGTGATCACCACATCTACATAAGGAACGAAACAGAAAGACTGCTCCACAAATCTGGCTGTCGCCTGATGAAGCTAATTACTGGCGAAACTTCGCACTCAGTTTGTAAGTGTTGTGGCTTGGCTCTCCAACACACCGGTGTGCTGTACCCGTATACTACACTATACACTACACTATACACTAGTGCTGTATTAGTATACTACACGATACACTACACTATATATTACACTATACACTAGTGCTGTACTAGTATACTACACTATACACTACACTACTATACACTACACCATACACTACACTATACACTAGTGCTGTATTAGTATACTACACGATACACTACACTATATATTACACTATACACTAGTGCTGTAATAGTATACTACACAATACACTACACTAGTATACACTACACCATACACTACACTATACACTAGTGCTGTACTTGTGACGAATTGGCACGTTCTGTTTACGTGACAACCCTTACTAGTTGGCCGTCGGGTGGTGGCGGGTTTAATGACACATTTATATATTCAAGCGACCTAACCCCAAAAACCTCTATTATGAAAAAAAATATTCGTTACGTATATTTAGCGACACAATACAGTTCCGCTGACATTCATGAACAAAAAATGTAGATGGTTCTCCGATATGCACCTCCACTATGCAGAGGCAGGCAGTCCCGATTACCAGATATATAATTGTTTTTCTAAGAAAAACGATTTCACAATGGAATTTCATTTCTACATTTTTTTAAAAGTCAATTGAGCATGACTGAAAGGAAATGGTGAAAAAAAAAACACATGTAAGCGTGGACAGACAAGACGAGTAACGTAATTATATGACCGAAACTAAACTTTCTTAAATGTTATTCTGATAAGAGAGAAATGATTTTGTTGGGATCTGCACACCAAGTGCGTAAACATTGGATAGTTTTGGTATGGCCATAGAGGGGACTGTAATTCGGTCTTGCTCTGAGGTCAGAAACTTGGGTCTTATCCACGACCCACGTATTAGCAAAATCTCGTTTTTCCACTTATGCAAAATACCTCGACTGAGAACCCACGCCGTCCCTGCCTGATGCACAGAGGCTGGTGCATGCCTTTACCGTATTTCCTCAAGTTTGGATAACTGCAATACTGGCGTGTCTAAAATGTTTAATTAAATTAAATAGACTACAATACATTCAAACCTCAGCTGACTCTATTTTAACCAGATCTAAATCGTGTGACCATATTACTCCCGTTCTCTCCTCCCTGCACTGCCTCCCTGTAAAGTAGGTCTTCTCACCACGTTTAAGGCCCTGAATTAGTTTGCTCCTTAAAATATC